GTGTGCTATTTAATTATATTTCGAGTATGGCTCTGCCTCCATTTTCTTGGCTATCGGTGTTCATCTTGAATAACTCTGTGAGAGTCGAAATGCACATTAGTGGCGATATGAAGAAAAAGGCGTGGGAGATGAAAAGCATGGGCGGGAGCACTCAGAGTACTAAGAATTTGATGATTTTGTGCTTCTATGACAAAAGCGTCCAGCGGCGGCTACGGGCCACGAGTATGATATACGAGATCGAATTGCATAACGGCGGCCACAGAGAGGAAAAACCGTGGGAGATGAAAAGCTTAGGCGGTTGCACTCAAAGTAGTAAGAATTTGATGAGTTTGCCTGCTATGCAAAAGCGGCCAGCGGCGGCTACGGGCTGCCGGCGGCTGCTGTGAGCTGCTACGGACTGCCAGCGGCGGCTACGGGCTGCTACGGGCTGCTAGCGGCGGCTGCCAGCCCGGTATGAAGGCACCCTTAGGTTGGAAAGAAAAGAATGTCGTTTTTAGAGGCAGCGTCCAGGCAAATCTGGACTATGGGGCTCTCACGTGTACAGTAATTTTGGGACCCTAACTAAGCCACTGACCAACCGACAGCTCAGGTAGTGCACTAACGGCTGAGATATTCGCCTAACTAGACACCGGGATCGTATTTCGCATGATCCATGGCGCAACTCATCAATTTCGCGCGAGGACCCACGGGGTGCGCCATGAATCCATGCAAAGTACGATCCCGGGGTCCAGTTCCGAGGCGAATATCGCAGCCGTTAGAGCACTACTGAGCTGCCGCTTGGGTTAGCTTAGTTAGGATCCCAAAATTACGATCCACGTGAGAGCTCCATATGTTCAGATTTGCCTGAACGCTGCCCTTAACAGCAGAGGAACAGAAACAATCCGAATGAATATGGGTATATTTTTCAAGAGAGCGAAGCAAGCTGCAGGATGACTTCAGAACTTGGCTTAAGTTATGGTTTTCGCAAAGTTCAAAGCCGAAACATAAGAGCAACTCAGAGTGTCAAAAATCGGATTTCCGCCCCAAGAAACCCTCGAACCTCCTGTTTTCTCCAGCATGAAGCAGAAATACAGGGCTTACCAAACGCAGTGTCGCTTGCATCAGCATCTCCACTCCCCTGGACTCTGCATCTCTTCCGCGAACATGCTCTCTACTCACTTCCAATCGATTGATGCTTGCCTTTCCCACGATCGCTCTGGGAAAGTGATCAGAGAGCACGTTGAAGAGACGCAGAGTCCAGCGCGGGAGTGGAGATGCTGATGCAGGAGACACTGCGTTTGATAAGCCCTGTATACACTTACCCATATGCAAACTTCATGTTTTTTTTTCGCAATTAAAAATCAAGAAAAAAATGAAAAACGAAAAATGGCAAACTCCGCACCTAGTGGTCCTGGGCTCCTCCCATATATGCAGTTGTGCACTACAAAACCTTCGAGACTTTAGAAAAACCTTGGCCTTGGATATACTCTAGTTCATGAGAAATACCAACTTTAGCTGAAAAACCCCCGAAAAAGCCACCTTCATTTCTTTCCAAACTAATATTGAGTAGAGTAGCGCCGAAACTACTCTCTGACTTACCCTTTTCTCCTTTATCAGCAGTGAATTACCTAAAAAACAGATAATAAGCTAAAAAATACTAAAAAACATTCGCTCGGGAACTCGCAATGGCAATGTAGACTTGTCGCATCTGCAGGGACATTATATCAAGCAGAAAATCTACTCGACGCGCATAGCTTTTGTATTCTTATGTGTACATGCCAAATCTTGCTTACGGAGTATGCGCCTAAGGAAAGATTATGAACAATCGCAGCAACCAGAAATCGTGCGGCGACGAGGTATGACCGATCCCTTGGGGCCGCATGCATTGACATCCCCGCTCGGGAGGAACATTTAGCTCAAAGGCAGTGGATCAGCAGAATGGACCCCTGTCAGGTTTTGGTAGTTTCAGGTAGTATTCCCTCCAAGCACATTGTAGCCCCAACCCCATCCTTCAATTCACGCGCTGAGTTCTGAAAAAAGCGCTTCAAAACTCCACCAATGAACCCACTCAATGTTAGTGGGCGGGGCTGGTGGAGTTTTGAAGCTCCTAACAGGACATAGGGCATGAATTGGAGGATGGGGTTGGGGCTACGGTGTACTTGGAGAGTCTACTACCTGAAACTACCAAAACCTGACAGGGGTCCTTTCTGCCGATCCACTGCCTTTAAACGCAGTGTACTGACAAGGTGGGGATTTTGTGATTTCAGTGGCATGCGAAAGTGGTCCCCTTCAGACACAGCATCGCGCAAGTGCGAGGTTGTAACGTTCAACCTAAAGCAAGAAAAACGATGGGGAAGCGGGGAAACTTACGCCTTGGGGCAAGGCCCTCCGACCTGTACGAATTCCTGCTATGTGGCAGAGTAGGCATGCCGCCACAGTCAAAATCGTAGGCCAGCGACTCTGCGTCTCAAGCCTTGGCGGGGACCGTCAAATTTCAAATTGTAAGGCTTTGGGAAACGCATGTTCTCGCCGTTTTCGCGCCATCTGATGTCGATTTTCGGATTTAGGGTTGCGGATAACCCCCAGTAAGTGGATTTTTTGGAAATCGATTTTTCGCCCGGACACTGCCTTCAACGGCAGCGTCCAGGCACATCTGGACCTATGGGGCTTTTACGTGCAAAGTACTTTTGGGGCCCTAACTAAGGCATTGCCCAAGCGGCAGCTCAGGTAGTGCTCTAATGGCTGAGATATTCCCCTCGAAACTGGACCCCGCGACCGTGTTTCGCATGGATTCATGGCGCACCCCGTGGGTCCTGGCGCGAAACTGCCATGAATCCATGCGAATACGTTCGCGGGGGCCAGTTTCGAGGGGAATATCTCAGCCATTAGAGCACTACCTGAGCTGCCGCTTGGGCAATGCCTTGGTTAGGGCCCCAAAAGTACTTTGCACGTAAAAGCCCCATAAGTCCAGATCTGCCTGGACGCTGCCTTTGAAGGCAGCGGCTCGACAGAATGACAACTCCGAGATATTCATCGTTCTCGGTTCCCTGGATGAGCTAAGCCCAAGACTGTGCTTCGCAGCTTCAAAAGATATCGATAACCCGCTTTTGCAGATGTTAAATGCTGTTTGGGCGGGTCGCGAAAGTGGCTGCTGGAGCCAGTAATCCAATTACCGCTGAGATGTGTACGGTGTCTCCACTCACGAGCCAATGGCGCTCTATAGGACAGGCTTACGCCGTCGCCCAAACAGCACTTTTCACGTCTGGGAAAGCGGGACTGATATCTTTTGAAACTGCTAAGCACAGTCTTGGACTTAGCTCATCCAGGGGAACCGACAACGATGAATATACCAAAGTTGTCAATCTGCCGAGACGCTGCCTTTGAAAAAAACTTCCATTTTTCGCTGTCTATCCATCCGCAGTGTTTCTACTACCTTTTACTACGAACATATTTTACCAGTGGATAATTCTTTTCTTCAGAGTCATTCTCTTTCTTCAAAGTCAATGAAAACATTCCGAAGTTGTGCTGATTATCCAATCCAACAGTGCTAAGTATGCTGTGCCGATTTTGTCGGCACCTTCCTTGCGACTTATCACTAACTCTCTTAACCACCGTAAAAATCATGCCATAAGCATGACCTGCTGCGATATGAGTGTATTACTGCCCAGATGTTTGTGATACTACTTTACCACGCCTTCAATCCTCAGCATTCTACCACTGCACGAATGGGTGCATGTCGTCTGTTCAATAAAGCTCTAATAGCTTAGTGTTGTATTAACACACCGGGAGCTACCATACTCCACAACAGGCGCCACTCATCCGCCTAAGGCTACAATAAAGCCTACAACCACCACATATGCTCCTGATAAAAAGAAACGACGCATCGAAGTTATGAAGTGCGATAAGAAACAAGTTGAAATTTGGGATTTGTCGAAAATCTAAATATTCTAATAACTCCCTTGTTGTTGACAGAAACGTGTTTAGCACTGCTGAGCCTATCGGCGACATATCATCGTGCTTCAACAGTACGCGGCACAGTTATGCATTTGGTGTCACGTTGGAGGAAAATTAAGTCGGCGTCCGCGATTTCGCTACAACAAACATTCCTTTGATAGTAAGGCTTTCTTATGATGCTCTTATGCTGCGGACTTTTTTTAAAATCATTTGTACAATGACCCTGTAGTAGCGAACATCGCAGAGACCAATTCTGTATCCGTCCAAGGTGACGCCAAATGACATCAGTTTACTAGTAGCGCCGCGTCCTGCTGAAACAGGCAATCGGCTAGTCTGGCTCCTACCATAAAGGCTACTGCAGGACGAAAGCCAGAAGCATTGTAGTCGAGCGGGAGCGAATGCGGCGCGCGCGTATCTTCATCGTTGTGAATCCTGCACCTCATGCGCTCTGCGACTAATAAAGACGCGTTCGCGCCCAAAGATAGTGCGCCTTCGTCGTGCAGCAGACACAGTCTCTCTCAATCAGGATCAGGCCAATCCTTTGGCGTGAATTTGAGCGTTCGCAGCGATAGAGGCTTGTGGTGCATACATGCGCTGTCAGAGAGTGCGAAAGATTGCGAAGAGAGCAGACAAGCGGGTCTTAGGCGTGAAGCAAGTGCTAGCAAGGCGCATTCCCGTTATGCCAATTTTGGTCTCATTGGGATTGGGACAGACTGTACGAATTTCAAACATTTGCTAACCATTATACTTTGCAATAATAAGATCTAAATCTAAGAACCAAGAGTCTGTTGATTTTCTATGTCCCTGATGACTTAGTCACGTATAGACAATTCATCGCATGCAAAGACAGGATATTACTACGGACGCTATTGGAGTCTCGCCAATCGAGCGCTCTTGTATCCCTCTTGCCTTCTGCTGTATCTGATGCACAAACTATCTTGGTCAGACGCAACAGCGTCTAGTCTGTGCGTGCGATGAATCGTTTATACTTTTCCTTGATAAAACTTCATCATCACGTTGTGATCTAGACATGCGTACTCTCTTAATTCCAAATAGTTTTAACATACCGCGATGGAGCGGTTATACTGCGGCGTGAGCATGTACTGTTGGAAAGTAGACTGTGTCCATTGTGTGGGCTACAAATACACAACTTGATTGTGGATCCCACGCCAAAAACAACCACACCTGGGACGCGATAGTTGCGTAATGTTGGTGATAAAGGTCACCCTCTGTCGCTCCATACGACATGGCTGGATAAGCATTTGTGAGAGTTGCCTTCTCAACGTATGTCGCTATCTCAGGATGAACGAAGGGCAGTGCATAGCCCATTCCCTGCATACCAACAAGATATGAAATGAGACACAAGGTAAGGAAATGACTCACTTGCGAATTCTGAGAGACCGACGTCTGGTTCCAAACTCCTATTGTGTTGGTGTGATAGCCAGCATAAGTATGATTCGGATACATATGTGGCGCTAAAAATGTGAAATGAGCATGCCTTCCTTTACAATAGGAGGGAGAAGTGCTTGATGACACAACGAACTTAAGACTCTGCACAAGAAACAAATTTTTTGGTAGTAACGTAGGTTTTTATCTAGTCGAGGAAAATACTAGGTATGCGTGTGATCCATTTCAAGAGTGAAATGGAATTATAGACAAAAAAGATAACAGGTTTTTCAGTAACTTATGACGTGTTTTACCTGGGAAAGCTACCCCGATAAGACCCACATACAATAATTCTAAAAGTAAGCTATTTCTCTCAAAAAGTTTCCGCAGACAAGGAGCGACATACCGCGTGGTTTTGCTACTGTTCTCTATGACAGTTAAAAAAAATTTTGCAACTAGGAATATCGGTAATAGCCGGTGGGGCTGCCACAAAGATGATTCATTTTCCAAGGATCGAATTTTGACTTGAGAGATCCACATTTACACCACTAGATATGAGTTCTCGCTGATTTTAAACCTTGAAGAAGACCTCCCACACTATCCGCATAGAAAATTCGGTTAACCGATTCATTTCTCTGTTAGCTATATCGATGATGATGTAAAGCAGGCATTCAAAACGCAGACAAGCTATAATACACAATTTCTCAAGTTTTAACATTCGAAAAATACACCACCTATTTGGTTATCAAGGGTCGCCAAGGATGACCAACTAATATGGACTGTGCCCAATGCGAGCGAGCGGCCAGATGTGCACACTGCCTGTTGGGATTCGCAACATGAACGGAGAAGGAAGACAGCTTGTGCGTAACTCTCGCAAGAGAGGTTAGGAAGGAGAAGGATCACTGAAGTCGAAAGGTGATCCTTAGAAGGTCTCACGCGGACCACTGGATGGACGAACCGCGGAACCATTCGCGGAAGTTACGACAATTACATCCTAGAAATACTACCAACAAGTAAGAAATTCGTCAAGATCAGCACAAGTGACTTCAAATAGCTAAAAAGCAAGCACTTTGCGTGGTAATTTTTGAAAGCTCGCATAACAGTGAATTGTAATTTTGAGTTCATTTATTTATTTATTATTCAAAGCTCTAGGTGCGCCAGAAACAAACGTATTGACAAAAGATGATCATTTGCTAAAATACACTATCACACTTCCATCACCTAACCTAGCTCTTGTTGCAAACCCAACTGAAGCCACTGAGAAGTAGCTAAAGTGACGGTGACTTTAACGGGTTGGATCATAAAGATGATTAGAATTGGGGACTACTGCCCTATCAAGGGAAGGATGATCGGTCGAAGTGGCCTTTTAGAATGAGCTCTATACTAGGAAACCCTCCTTGGTGAGGCATTCTCAAAACCACTTTCGTTAGTTGCCGAGCGGTTTTGTGAGGCGAGTTATGAGGCCATTTTCTCCTGCGCAGAAGGTGCGCCTCCTAATGGGCGAGGCGCTAAAACCACGCAGCTAGTGTGGCAGTGGCGCAGTGGTAAGATGGCGGACTGTGAAGCAAGTGGTCAAAGGTTCAGATCCTGTTGCTGGGATTTTGTTTTGCAGTTGTAAAAAGTCTATTGGGTTACAGTAAACGAGAAATACTCGTTGCTATGCACTTGTAACAAGCTATCCACTGCAAAAAGTCACTATTTCTACAATCAGCTATAATCTTCTGCAATAAGTAAGTTTGTGGGGATTATGATGTTACAATAATGGATTAATACAACCACGAAATGTTTAAGCAGAAGGGCTTATCGCAGCGCGCAAATCGGATAGAATGTAAACGATTATGGAAGATTATAGCTAATTGTAGAAATAGTGACTTTTTGCAGTGGATAGCTTGTTTCTAGTGCATAGCATCGAGTATTTCTCGTTTACTGTCACCCAATAGACTTTTTACAAAACTGCAAAAGATCCCAGCAACAGGATCTGAACCCTTGACCACTTGCTTCACAGTCCGCCATCTTACCACTGCGCCACTGCCACACTAGCTGCATGGTTTTAGCGCCTCGCCCATTAGGAGGCGCACCTTCTGCGCAGGAGGAAATGGCCTCACAACTCCCCTCACAAAACCGCTCGGCAACTAGCGAAAGTGGTTTTGAGAATGCCTCACCGAGGATGGTTTCCTAGTATACAGCTCATTCCGAAAGGCCACTTCGATCGATCATCCTTCCCTTGTAAGAGCAGTATAAGCTTTGAGGGCGTCCAAGACTAGCATGATTCAAGTTAGGTATCCACCAACCTAACACAATAATCCCAGATACATCTTATTACAATTCAAGCAGAATTAGAACGTCAAAAAACATTGTGAATCATGTAGAAAAGCAACCTGAAGGGCAACTGGAAGTGTCCATGAAGGACACTGGAAGTGTTCATGAAGGGCAACTGGAAGTGTGATAGGCCAGTAAGAACACTAGTGGAAGTTCGTATAAAAAATACCAAACATCAAACAGAGTTGGTAACTTTCAAAGAAATCGCGCCTATTGACCGTCTCCAGCTTTAGCACATCATCTCAAATCCTTGGCTCTAATTTTGAGTACTAAGTCATCGGTTACGTCCATGCTCGGTATCTACTTGTAGAGATACTTTCCTTTATCGAAAGGTGGGCCGCAGACTCGTGTTGGTACTCACTCCAAAAACTTTTGAATGCTGAACTCCGAGAACCTTCGCGTCAATCGAATACCACCTCTTCCAGGCAGTACTATTCTTGACTGAGCCAAAACACCAAGGCAATAACCAGGCACCTGTCCCCGCTACCGTAGTTGGCGGACAACTTACACCGACTTGCATGTGTATTTCTGGAGGGGGGGGGCAAATATCGATGTATCAATAATAATTTAGCAAGCCGATGCAAGTTGTGCGACGAATTAAAACAGCGAGGCTTTCTCGCTTGAAGATGTAAATCTCACTGAGTGCAACACCTGCACTGTCGCTTGGGTAGAGTCTTAATGAAGCCCCCGCAAACAGTTTCCACGTGCGATAATATGTCTGGTTCATCTATACTGCCTTCAAAAACCTTGGCGATTCTGTCTGTAGAAAAACTCCTGTGTTTGATTTTACAGGAAATGACTGAGGTCGGATGATCAAATGATACGTAAATTGGTTTTTTATGCGACAAGTTATATCTTAGGACAACTCGGCGCTATTCCAGTATCCGGGCCAGAAATTTTTTTCGCATGGATTTTGCTGAAACTTGGCCCTGAGGGATAATTCGGCCCAGTGATGCCGAGTATCAAATTGGTTTTGCATCGTAGCGTCATTTTCTCAGGTTACGGTGGATATACGGTAGGAGTCAAAACAACGAACCCTGTAACTTGACGGGGGTTATTCGGCCCGCTGATGCCAAATATCACATTGGTTTGTACCATAGCATCTTTTTGCGGGTTGCAGTAGGACACGGTAACGGGTGACAAACAGTTCTGCCTCAAACGGGTGTACGGCGATTCGAACGATCGTGAAGCTTTGCAAACACGACCACCGCCGCGCGCTATACACCCCGCGGCGGCTTTTGCCTAAGCAAAGCACAGGGGAAAGATACATTTGCCGATCTGTGATTTTGACCCCTACTGTAAACCTACCGTAACCCTGTAGGGAGACGTTTTCGTTCGGAGAAAGTGTGACATTTCTAATCAGCATGTCATAACCCCTCTGTGCGAAGTTACAGCGAATTTTGAGACTTTGGCTTCCTGCCGTATATCCACCGTAACCCGAGAAAATGACGCTACGGTACAAAACCAAGGTGATATTCAGCATCAGCGGACCGAATAACCCCCTGGGCCAAGTTGTTTCAGCAAAATCCATGTCAAAAAAATTTTGGGGCCCGGATACTGGAATAGCGCCGACAACTGTACAATATGTGTGTATCAGTCTGCGGATCTATAGACACTTGATACTTTGACAACGGAATAACACAGAACAAGCACAATGTTTCATCGCTGTGCTGCGACTGCCGGACCAGTACTGCCTTACGGTTTATGTGAGAACCACAGATACGAAGTGATCGGTACAAAACCCGTTATATATTCAAAACCTGTGTATGTACTTTGAGCGCAGTAATGCTCGCGGCGTTCCTAACGCAAGGAATAACGCATACATGCATAAATTCATTACAACCAGGGTCAAGCGTGGGGTGTGGCACGCCACACCTGGGGGGTCGTAGAGGGGTCAGGAAGAGGGGGGGGGGGGTCGTTATCGAGGTGATAGTGATGTTAGCGACATGATGTCAGTCAACAATGTCTGATAGGCCCATTGCACAAAATACCAGCACTAATGTTTTGGCCTACCGTCGTATACGCACAGTAAGCATATTAAAAGAATCCTGAAAGCATAAAAGCACCATTTTCTTAATCAACATGTCAAATAACCCCTGAGAGACAAGTTTCGGCGAGTTTTGAGGTTTCCAAATATTGGTCCACCCAAGTGAGATGGTCATTTCCAAACATGTTACCTTTATTTCAAAGGTGTTATTTACTTCTCTCTGTGCTTAATACAAAGAACTACTAATTCTTTGTCCACATTAGGAATTCCACTTCAATTAACCTCCAAAACTCTGGAATAAAGAGTAAGCCAAAATTTCGTTTGTCCCCTTTTTCGCTTTCAATTTCTCAGACCAGAGAAGACCAATCAGGCTCAAATCATTTTTGTGGAAGTTACGAGGATCAGGTTATCGAATTTACTTGTTTTTGCTGCCTTCCCTCGCGATTCACGCAGTAGCGCAGACCTAGCATAGTACCGTAATCCAGTATTTTCACAATATTTTCCATTTGCTTAGCTAAGGAAAAACGACCATATCTTTCCCCAGGAGGAACAATCTTGAAGGAAATTCCTGGGGAGAAGAAGGTTTAGCAGTAGCAACCATATAAAAAAGACAGAGATTTGAATGCTTTGAAGGTAAGTCAATGGGGTGTGGCACCTAAAAAACTGTGGCCGCCACAGCTTTTTAGGGGTGGTGCCACACCCCATTAACTTGCTTCCAAAAAGAATTTTAGCGAACAAATTACATATAGTTTGATAGCCTGAGTCTTGTAGTTTTCATAGGAGTAATTTAGGCCTGATTCATCTTCTTCGCTCTGTGTGAAAGCTGGTGAAAGCGCAGCCACTGGAAGCGAAAAAGGGGACAAACGAGACTTTGGCCTCTAATTCCATAGTTTGATGGTTATTTGGAGCAGGATTCATGGTATGGAAAAATAGGGAGTAGTGCTTTCTATTGAGTGCATAAAGAATTAGCTAATTCGCTTTTGAAATATAGTTAATAATCTTCGAAAATATTCACTTCGCTTGGGTATTCCAATAATTGAAATCCTCAGAATTTGCTAAAACTTGGTCCATGGTGGTTGGTTGACATGAAAATTACGAATATGTGCTAATTATGCATGGTAGAGCCTCTACGTATTGAGACAGAAGATAGGTAGGGGGGGGGTCGTATCTAGCGCTTGTGTGCCAGAGCTCTTGCTCGACCCTGATTACAACCTGCGCTGCTGATTTCATCTCTTTTTTTAAACTTCTAGACTATTGAGTGAAGTCGTGAATTTGAAAAACTGAGAGTGAATAGACTTTCCCAGTAGTTATACCTTTTTTCCTTATATTAGACACTCAATCTGTCTCAGTAAAGAAATTACAAAGTCATAGTGATTGTACCAAAACTATAAAGCACGTTTCTCTGCTCTCGATTCTTAAAGGCAGCGTCCAGGCAAATTTGGACATACGGGGATCTCACGTGGATATTAATTTTGCGCTAACTGAGCTACTGCCCAACCGGCAACTCAGGTAGTGCTCTGACGGCTGAGATATTCCCCTCGAAACTGGACCACAGGATCGTATTTCGCATGGATTCATGACGCAACCCATCAGTTTCGCGTGCGTTCTCGCGCGAAACCGATGGGTTGCGCCATGAATCTATGCGAAATACAATACTGGCCCAGTTTGGAGGCGTATATCTCAGCCTTTGAGTCATCTGCGCTGCCGCTTGGGCAGTGTGCCTTAGGCTTCATACATACCTGATGATGGGTGGCTATAGCTGATGATGTTTCGCTGCTAGCAGCAACGCTTTTTGTGCATATCGATGGCAGCTAAGCGACGCTGCTGCTCCTAGCTGCTGCAGCCAACGCGAAACAGACCCGCTATAGCTAGCGATGCTGGCTGCTCTCCGCTGCTCGCTGGTGCTTGTTGCTGCTGCTTGCTGCTACGCGATATGAAGCTCATGCTTCGTGAGTTTCACAGCTGCTCCATGCTGCTATCAGCTGATTTTGCTCGGATTGCCTCTTTTTACCATTGTTTTGTGTTTTCAAAAGATTTTTCGAGCAATGTTGCAATATTCAATTACGACAAATTTGCGAGACTATTGAAAAGGCAAATACATAGGTTAATAAAGAAATCTGAACAAGAGGAAGTGCATCAAATTTCTAAAACGAAAAATAGAACGAAAGAGTATAAGAGGAACAGCTAGAAGCAGTTGCTTGAAGGCAGCGTCCAGGCAAACCTGGACTATAGGGCTCTCACTTGGATAGTAATTTTGGGGCCCTAACTAAGCCACTGCCCAACCGGTAGCTCAGGTATTGTGCTAAGGGTTGAGATAATCGGCTTGAAACTGGACCCCGGGATCGTATTTCGCATGAATTCATGGCGCAACCCATCAATTTCGTGCGAGGACCCATGGGTTGTGTCATGAATCCATGCGAAATACGATCCCGGGGTCCAGTTTCGAGGCGAATATCTCAGCCGTGAGAGCACTACCTGAGCTGCCGCTTGGACAGCGGTTTAGTTAGGGCCCCGAAATTGCGACAAACGTGAGAGCCCTATATGTCCAGATTTGTTTGGACGCTGCCTTTAACAACAAAAATAGTGCTGTGATGTCGCCCCACTTTCATACATGAACGGTATCAACAGACCTATTTTAATATTGCCTCAAGCGCATCTAAGGGTCATGCTATGATAATCACCTTAACATTCGTCAAACTACTGTTTTTTGGACAAGCAGTATTTAGTTTGCCGTTGTGTGCTTGATACAAAACTTTTTTGTCAAAGTAGTATATACTCCAGTAAACATGTCTCAGCTATGAGATTTATTCAATTTTCCTACCAATTTAGATAAGCTAAGAGAAGTAAAGATTGCTTTGCTATGTAAATAAGATAAATACTTTGCTCTTGCACCCAAAATGCACCCATGCGCAGCAGCTACGAGTAGCTAGAAGCCGCGAAGAAAGTAGCGATTCGCCAACATCCGCTATGCCTCGATCCTCAGGTATGTATGAAGCCTTAGTTGAGGCCCCAAAATTACTTTCCATTAAAATCCCCGTAGGTCCAGATTTGCCTGGACGCTGCCTTTAAGCATTTCCAAAAAACAACTAGAGTTCTAATTTCAGCATCTTTGTAAGACACTCTTATCTCTCGCCAGCATGCCTTAAGCTCATGCTCAAAAAAAAAACAATTTCAAACAAAGCTACTTAAAGGCAGTTGCTCGGCAGATTGAAAATCCTGGGATATTCATCATGTCTTGACTTCCCTGGATGACATGAGTTCAAACTGTGCTTTGCAGCTCTTGGAAATATTAATTACTCGCTTTTTTGGACGTAGAAGCTGCGTCTGGGCGGGTAGCGAAACCAAGGCCCTTTGTAGAAATTGGCTGCTAATGCCAGTAATCCATAGCCGCCGAGATAGGTGGAGTGTCTCCATCCATCCGGACTCCATGAGCCAATCGCTCTCTAAAAAGCGGGTTTACGTTTACCGCCCAAACAGCAGTTTCCACGCCAAGGAAAAGCGAGTTATTAACATCATCATCAGCTGCAAAGTACAGTTTTGGACTCAGCTCTCCCAAGGAAATCGTCAACGACAAGTACTACAAAGTCGCCGATCTGCCGAACCGGCCTTCAATCACATAAATGACCTAGGGGTGATCCGCAGAACAAGGAGCTCATCTGTGGTAGAAAAGAACCGTTGAACTTTCTTATCTCCAACAAACAAGCCCTGACACAACTCTGAGCTATCCTTTCAGTGCTTTCACGCAATCGATTACTACAAAGGAGCGGAACTTTTAGTGAATAGCCTGCGAAGTTTGTTCTGACGTTTCATTGCAGATGGGGGGAGAGGGGGGGGGGCAAAAGGCCCATCCATCCTTTTATAGGCTTGCGCCTACCCAAATCACCTACTTTCTCATAAAACCATTTTAGTCGTGATGGGTCCTATTTTTGTCTCAAAAATTCGGCACCTTTTCTCTAACAAATGTCGTTATAGTTATCGTTTTTGCTAGTACCAAATCTATACCTAAGCATGGAAAATAGCAGCACGTAAAAGTTTTGCAAATGTTGACGAAAAGAACCCACAGATATAAGCTCCAAGGAGCTATCAAAAAGGCATGATCAAATGGTATAAACAAAAAAACAATAACATAAGAATAAATAAAAAACGCCTAAAGGAGCAAAGACCAAACAAAATATACTTTTACCTCAGCTCGACGATTTTTCGAAGTGTCCGAAGCACCATAAAATGGACACGATCTCAAGATTTTCGTTCTTCCCCGATAGTACTGCCGTTTGGATAGGAAGTCGGGAGGGCGATACCCACAAGTCTGCATCAAATGTATAATTCTCGTTGTATAAGCATGAGTGATGACGACAGCATATGCGAGAAAATCGGACGCTGGTGTCTGCAGTCATCTATAGTGGCAAAACAGACAATAAGTAGCAGTATGCATATAACCTACAGTATGTGCATTATTAAAGATTTTCTTGGGAAAGTAAGTGGAAATGGAGACCACGACTCTCATACTTTCAACAATGACTATTAAAAGAGCAAGCCGCAAATGGAACAAATTAAATGAATTCGATTTAGATGCACAGGTAAAGAAAAAGTTACTGACATTTGGATTGAAGCGAGCAGATGGAGTAAGCACTACAAAGCTATCAATATAGGGGAGATACTCTTACTTTCGACATTCGAAACAGACTGATAAAAGTACAAAGAGACTGGGTCTCTAGCACGTCGAGGCAAATTTGTGAACCGTATCCTTGATAGAGCGGAAATTTACTGATAGGTAAGAGCTAGAAGTCTCAAAGGAGTAAAATAACGACTTCACTGTTTTCATCACACAAACTCCAGTTCAGAACAACCCACTGCCATGAAAATAGTGTATGCCAGAAATCTCGAAAAAAAAAAAGTATTACAAGAAGTGATTTGCCCGCTATGAACTTTATTCTCCAAGAAAAGATCTTAGAAAAAAATAGCTAAGCAATAAAATCATAAGCAGTTGCCAATAATGAAAACAAACACATCGCTTTCTGAGAGGCACAATAACGTGAATATGCGACTCGACAAGGAGGAAGATGTCTAGCTGAAGTGTTCCTAGATGAGTACACACAATGTGTCAACCATGGAACCTTTGTGTACCAACTCGAATTCTTAAACATCAAAGGCATGATAAAAGATAGCCACTGCCAGAATCCGCATCTGATCAAAAGCAATAAATATAAAATACAAAACACTTCTAGGCTGTTTAGTCTGAAATACAGCGGTCAGTCCAACCAATCCAGTGGGATCTTTGATATAGAGAAGTAAAAACTGATCGAGGTAAAACTGAGTCACAACCCCCCACAACACTAATTCAACCGAAAAAAAAAATCTTTTTGAAACATAACACATAAGAATATGTGAGAAAGTGCGTGGTTTCTTGGTACAGTAGGGCACCAATGAACAAGTCCGTCGTGCTGGGACTAACGAATGCCGCCAGTTGATTCGTTGGATTTTCGTTACACCATGTGGTTGCTGCTCTTTCTCGTATTAGTATGTTGCAAAATTTTGTGTAAAATGCTTATCAAGACAAAATCCTTTGAAACTGAGCCGAGAAATTCTTGCCATTACTTGGGATCGCTCGCTTCTGCGTTTTACAAGTTTTAAGCAAAAGCGATTACATTAATTTCTTTAAAGCGTGGACCTGGTACAAGTAATAGTGGGAAAACGGTAGAGTTTTCGCTTTCCGGGGGTGGGAAAACCAAACAAGGAGAGGATAATTAGTCGAAACCACCAATCCAGATGAGACATATATCATCTTGAAGCGCTTGAAACGCTGATTTCAAATCTGCAGTTTCTAGCTGCGGAGTTTTGTAGAAGGAGTTATGAAGGGTGCTCCCTTCTGGGGTTTAGGCGCCCTCCAGCGGTCTCCCCTTATCTGTAAACACTGTAGAGGAGTATCAGCTGATGTCAACTGACCTAATGGTAAATAACTTGAATGAAGATTACAGTAAAGATTATAATACTCATATTACTTTAGTTTTTTTACACTTCTAACTTCGATTAGTATCAATATCATCAGAAGTTTCATGCTTTAGGGCTCTCTTTATCAAGCACGCACTTACCACTAGGTCACTTGCCACAGTTGATACTCCTCTACAGTGCTCATAGGTAGGGGGAGACCTGGTGGAGGGCGTCTCAACTCCAGAGGAAACACCCCTCATAACTCCCTCTACAAAACCGCTCCGCAGCTAGAAACTGCAGATTTGGAATCAGCGTTTCAAGCGCTCTATGATGGTATATGTCTCATCTGGATTGGTGCTTTCGACTAAGTATCCTCTCCTTGTAAGTATTCCAAAAAGACACTTCTTACCTTTTACAAGATATCGAAAAAAGAGAAAATTCTCAATTTGCAATGTTTCTTTGCGCAAAACTCCGCAATTTCCAGAACTCAAGCCCCCTGCTCAGCCGAATGGGTATACGGTAAGCAAAATTCGTTTCAACCTAGTACATTTGGGAGCTATGCTCTCTCAATTCTTGGCAGTTTTTGGGCTTGAAGATTTTGTGGCTAGAGTTACACAAATGTTTGTCTTGTAAACCTAGGATTATTATTTGCAATGTTACTGCGTTGAGTAAGATTGTTTCTAATATATAAAGGATTGTAAGGCGCTTCCAAAATGATCAAATAGCGGGAAACCGAGAAGAGAGCGCACCTGCATAGCACCTTTGCAATTTTTGGTTCACCAGTTTTTCAAAAAAAAGTATGTGCTTAGAAAACGTTCTATCATCTATTCTATGACTGGAGACGCGAGACCACATTGCGGACATTGTCTTAACAAGTTTGAGTTTGTTCTTCCCGGTTTTCGAAGAATGAATAAACCTAGACGAGATAAGCAGTACACGGTTAGACTTGTTTAGACAATGTGTGCAATGCGGTCTCGCGTCTCCTACTCATAGAATGAATGATATATATCTACAATAGTGGTAGCTAAGTCAAATGTAGGTTCAGAGCCCACCTCACTGAATGAGCTCATACGTTCTGGTGATAACAGTCTTCGCGCTATATTTTCCTGCTCTCCACCTCCCTTTTTACTTGCAAGGATGAGCGAAGACTTCGATTTGGAAAAGTCATCTGCTAGTACTTTTGCCTTTTTCGTAAAGAAAAAACAACAAATACTCAAAGGCTTCGGTGATGCTATTGATGACTAACAAATTAGAACTTGTCGTCTTCACTGGTACGCTCAATCTCTCAGAGTTAGGATATTCGCTATGTCCGTCTGTGTGACAAATCGGATTAATTTTCTCGGATTTGCAATTTGAAGAGCCACCGGCATGCGGCTTAAGTTTCGAGTATAGCGCATTCCGACAGCTCCGAATAGAGATTCTCAAAGTTGAGGAGGCAGTCGTAGTAGTAGTAGCATAGTAGCTATGGCCTGTTTCAGATGGCATCAAAGCTTCGACGTTGCCTTTGCTCTAATTCGCGATGATACTGTGTAAGACGCCGGCACCCTACCAGTGTTTTGATTCCAGGTGGCAATGCGTCGTGTGTGACATACACTGACCGCCAAGTTGCGGACAAGCCGCCCTCCCTTTTTTAATCGCTCATTTTCAGATGGAAAACAACGATGCAAAATTGATCGGATGGCATGAGATGATAGAGCTTTTGCTACAACGCATACATTACGCTTTCTAGAAAACATGGATTAAAAAACGCTCGTCTCAGGGCACGTCACAATGTCGCAGACAATAAACGCGAAAATTTTCTAGCCTTTTTGGAGCAAAAACGGAGGCTTTCCAGACAAGTAAGCATACTATTCTAAGAGCTCATCGAGTACAATAAAGTAGTGGTTACTTCCAATAAAACACAAGCTTGAATTTTATTTTGCTTTTTTTCAAAAAATAACTTTTGGTTTTTTTTCAAGTCAAACCCACAAAGTTCGGATATAATGAATGCTTTTTGCCATCCTCTATGCATCGGACGTGTGCTGGTGAGTCTCTTTGCTAATAATGGCTCTAGACAGTGCGTGCACATGACACCACCTGCACATAACCACTGACTTTGTGCCGTTTGCAAGCTTGTTGCTCGGCCTGCAGTCAATCTCTGAGCATGCAAGTAGGCTCATTCGAAACTGCGAGGCTTTCTCTGCCCGATGGTGTGCAGAAGATGTGAGTTTAAAAAAATCCTGCAAATTTGGAGAATGGATTGAAAAAGCGCAGCCTCAGTGGTAAACTAGAAATTCTCCGAGCAAGATCGAGCAGAGCTCCTTTCGGTACCAGTTTTATCCTAGAAGTTCGGAACTGACAACTTTCTTGTAATAATTCAAATTCAAGCTTCCAAGGCGTTTTGATCGACTGCGGCCCAATGGCTACTAAGTGTGAGAAATGTTGTAGTGGGTCACCAAGAAATCGCATAACACTTTTTAATGCCGTAAAAGCCAATAAAATTCGTTTATGTTATTTTGATCAGAAAGTTCTACTGGAAAGGGTGCGCAGACAGTTCAAATGACGAGCACGACTGCTCGCAGAAGAACGTTTAGATTACCCAGAGATTGGCTGGCAGTAGAGAAAGATGTCGCGTTCAGTGGAGCTCATTCTCGAAAATGGACCTACACACCCTACACCTCGTGTTTTTCTCTAGACTTGCCCTGCGCATTATGTAACCGTAATTCATCTCCTTCTCGTAGAGCATCCTTCCCGTAGCTCTCCTTTTTGCAGCTTTTCCTAGCCAGTGTATCATGTGTTCCTTTCGCTGTAAGATTTTCACAAGTCGTTAGCGGCCATTTCCAAAGCATTTGAGGCGCCTGATTTCCTATCCACTTTAGCTTCAGAATATCATTTCTCCTTTCTAATTTTCTTATCTGAAACGCACTTTTTCCCTCTCAAAACTTAACAATCATTTTATCCACTTCTCCCCCAAACTCCCTTCAAAAGCTTACTGGCCAGAGTCACAATATCCCCCTCCCCTTTCAAAGTTTTCGGTCAGTGCTCGCAGGGTTCCCCTCAACTTTTCCGTGCCAAAACTCTAGAGTCTCCTTTTTGAACTTTTTCCCTTAAGCCATGACTGCTTCACAGTTTCCTGACACTTTGCATTTTCAAAACCCCGTATCGTTCTTGAGAATCTTCCCTCTTCCCCTCTCGATTTTCTCTCCCATTCACAGCATTGATAGCAGGTTCCCTCCGTCATTTTCTCTACCACTTTTCCGTGACAAAATACTTTTCCCAAGTTTATTGGTTAAATTATTTTCCTTACACTCCATGCTAACGCGCAACTCTAATGTTGATGGTCATGCCGCCATAGTTTGAACGGGGCTATTCCAGCAACGGGCCCCTATATTTCAAAGTCGTATATCCAAACTCGTCTGGGGGGGGGGGGATACTGGATCCGCCGGTGCCGAATATCACATTATTTGCGAGGTAGCGCCATTTTCGGGGGCTACGGTGGGTATATGTAGAGGATAAAACCACGTACTTCGGTGAAACTGGTTTTATTGGACATGCTGATCACGCGTAAATCTACGATTTACGGTGGGGGGGGGGACAAAATCTTAAAGGCAGCATTCAGGCGAACCTGGTCATATGTGCGGATCTCTCGTGGAAAGTGAATTGGGGCCCTGATCAAGATCTGTCTAAGCGGCAGCTCAGATGGTGTACTCATAGCTGTATATTCCCTTCCAAACTGGACTCCAAGATTGTATAAACGGACAACTTGCCTAGTGTTCGCATGGTTTCATACCACGACCCATCAGTTTTGAGTGAATTCTTGCGCGAAAGTAATGAGAATTCGTCCGTTGATACGATCTTGTGGTCCACTTTATAGCGAATATTTCAGCCGTAAGTAATTCATTCGCGCTGCTGCTCAAGCAGTGTCTTATTGTATGTTGAAGTCTCAAAATTACTTTCCAAGTGATATCCTCATAGGTCCAAAGTTGCCTGGATGCTGCCTTCAAGTTTGGCTGCAATTCGGTCTAGAAGAGTTATATAAGCCGATCACAGGCACCATGCCCTCCTCGTTCTGGGACCCTTCCGTGGAGTTACAGTAGATATACAGTAGGGGATCATGATCATCGACCTGCCATAAAAGTTGCAGCGAGGTTATCTGACTTGCTGTTCGCGAAAATCGCGCTTATCTCACAGGATCTAAGATTTTTGTGATGAAAACAGTTGAAGAGACGGAAAAATGTGTATTCATAGCAAATCACCGTCACTTCACAGTTGGTGTAGCAAGCATAATAGTAGTAATCCATGCTTGAGAACTCTTCTACGCGAAGTTTAACTAGTTTGGAACTACTTCCACCTATACTCACCTAAAGAAAACGGCGCTGTTTTGCGAAATCGTATGATACTCATGTTCAGCGGGCTAAACTAAGACCCAAAATGCAGAAAGAGTGTGATAATCGTGATAGACCAGATTTCAGCCAAAACTAATTTTGACCCTCTACCTATAAGTACCTTTGTCCCATCAAATAACGTTTTCAAACAAGAAAGAATGTTCTTGATCCCTCATAGAACGAGTTTCAGCAAAACTCACGACTTTGATTCGAACTCTCCTGCACGCATTCGGTCCAAGTATATAGTTTTCGTTTTCGCCAAAGCCCAAATTTCCTTTTTTTTTGAAAGTCCATCTCACTCCACTCATTTATAGGTTCCATGTGAAGAAATTCAATTTGAAGAAGGTAATCGGAAGTTATTTTGAAAGAAGCAAAATAAATTTCAAGCTTGTGTTTTATTGGAAGTAACCACTATCTGATTATTGTACTCGATAAGCTCTTAGAATAGTATGCCTACTTGTCCGGAAAACTCTATTTTTGCTCCAAAAAATACCTAAAAAATTTTCGCGTTTGAAGAATTATTGTCCGCGACATTGTAGCGTGCCCTGGAACGGGTTTAGTTTTTTTTTTTTTGAGAAAAGGTCTTTAATTTCTTTGGAGTCCATGTTTTCCAGAGCCCAATGTGTGAAATGTAGCTCTTGAAGAGCTCTATCACTTCATGCAATCCGATCATTTTTTTCTTTGTCCATCCGAAAGTAAGAGATGAAAAAGGAAGGCGGCTTGTCCGCAACTTCATGGCTGTCACTGTATTGTGCGTGACCGATCCCGGATCAAACTGCCTCCAAGGTATTTCATCAACCGCACGGACTGGCTGTCTTGTAATGCAAGCGACGCGCGCATGTTACGATACAAATCGCAGTTGAACCATTTGATTCAACTGGCTTGGCTTCGAGAAGGCGGAGCTTCGTGACCTGGTTAAGGCTATAATAATCAGAGAGCACCCGCGCGAGAGAGACGCAGGTGTGTCGCGCGCGCGAGTAGCCTTAATTAGGCCACAAAGCCCCACCTTCTTGAAGCCAAGCCAGTTAAGGCAGTATCCAGGCAAATCTGAGCACATGGTTTTTTGCCTGGGAACTGTCGAGGAGGCTTTAGCTAAGGCACTGCCCAAACCGCAGCGCAAATAATCCATTCACGGCTGAGAAATCCATCCACAAACACTCCACTGCTGCTGCTGCGCCGTCGCAACACTTAGGATTGATCCCAGCGCGAACGTAGTGTTAAAGTGAGCAAAGTCGTTTTTGGGTTACAGTCACGGCGCAGGCGCGGGGTTTTCGGAGACGGATTTTTCAGCCGCGATTGAACAATTTGCGCTGCCCCCTGGGCAGTGTAGTTAGGACCCCCTCATCAATTTCCAGGCGAAAGAGCCATGCGACCAAATTTGCTTGGACACTGCCTTCAAATCAGAGGTGATGTACAAGTCGTGCCCTTGCGACGTGTCTGCGCGTCGACCGCTGCAGCTACGGGCAGTCCGTGCGGTCGATGAATAGACTAGGCTGATGCGAGTATTCTTTGAACAGATTGAGCAAACTATACAATTTCTTTTACACGTTTCATGCTACACATCCACTACGTCCCAGTCGCAAAGCTGCGGTAGTTTCTGGGCATTAATCTCGCAATTCTGGTTGCAAATCTGGTTCAGATCCAATTCTGGTCGATTTGTCTATGTTCCAAGAATGTAAACTTCAACGCATAGAGCGTATGAAGCATGTGAAGCGAATGCGACGCTTTTTTATAATCAAGTTGCGCTGACGATAACATGACCGGAACTTTTAGCGCTAATATACCCTTAGTAATTTCCAAGTTTCCTCTTTCTTGAAGCTCGGCATTGTTGGTAGGATGTGTTAGTGAGTAAGCCAGTCGAGATTAGTAGGTCTTTATTGTTGGTGGCGGCCTAATGTTTCGACCAAATCCTCGTCTTCAGAGGCTTAAAAGTGTAGTGTCTTACCCACCAAAGACCTCCACCATCCTGGCCAGCCTATTTCACCCCAGAGTTCCACAAGCAAAAGTCCCAAACGTGAAAGACGAACTGACCTCCTCCACCGTTGGCGCGCGGATGTCGGGGCGGCTGTCTATGGATGCCACTAGTACCACTAATGAAGAACACATTGTATATCATATTTGACTAATCACTAGTGGTCTTCAACTCGCATAACGTCACAAAAAGAATAAAGTCATTTGCAATTGACAAACACTCATTTCGGTCGTTCATGCTTGGATTTCTTGCATAAATCCAAAATGCCTTGAGAGCTTTTCTTACAGCAGTGTCGTACTCGTATGCCAGTATTGTATATCTAATTTTGAAGTCATTACCACTGTGACATCCAACTCTGTGTTTACCAAGAGGAGTGATAATACTTCCCTTCTCGCTGGCAGGGTGTTCCTTCATCCTTATACCCAACGGTCTCCCAGTCTCTCCTATATAAGTGGCACTGCACTAAATACATTCGATCTCATAAATTACACCAGCTTTACCGCAGTCGCCAACTTCATCGAATGGACAGACTATGCAGTCTGGACCCTGCAGTAGTTGTCATATAGTCTTCACTTACTAGCGCTTCCTCATACTAAAATGATCGTCTTTCAAATTCGCACGGTCAATGCATCGTCGCACTCGGCACTAGTTGCGTCGGAAACGAAAGGAAGACAAAGAGGAATTGTCTGTGGTGCTGGTTGCTATTGATGGAAATGGATGGTCTAGCACGTCTTTTCTGGAGCGGGTAGCCATTCTTGAGCAATTTCCAGCGTCCTTCTTTGTGAGCTTTTCCGTTCTTCATCCCCTGTGCACACGTTCGCTGCGGTGTTGAGCATGTTATGGATGGCAGCTCAAAAAACGAAGAAAAGACCTACTAATCTTGACTGGATCACTTATTAGCACATTATACCCTAAGTCCACAAGCAAAAGTGGTTCGAACACCCTACATGGCTTAGCCCCAAGACGCCTTTATGGATTTGCAACATTGGCATTTTGCTAGCGTCGGTTTGCCGACTTTGCGCTTAACAATTTTCCGCTTTTCTCACTATTTCTCGATATAAAAAAAACTTACTGCAAGTATTGCTCTTTCAACGATGAGATGTTATTCCAAAATAAAGGCTGAGAGGAGAAATAAACGTTCACTCTGTGAGGATTCTACCTATTTTTTCTTTTCAAGATATTTTTCATGGTGGATACTTACTTTTTTGCTCTCAGGACTTCTTAACTTGTCATCGTTTGAAAACCTAAGATTTTTGTAGAGTTACGCGTCTGCCCACTGATGCCAACAGTCTTGTTCGTTTTCGTGCGAAAGATTGTGGACACAAAGAAAAATATGAAACAACCGTTTACACCACTTATGAACATTTACAGTTTATCACTTTCAATTTGGTAAAATACACGAGCCAGCCGCGTTTGACAATCAGTTATCGTGAGCGCAGAATAATGAACTTGACTACCCTAATTCACGAGTACAAGACGAAGCAAGCACCTAGACCGGACCACTGTGCCTCGCGAAGTGGTCGCTCTCCCACACAACTCTTTTGGGTAAGGAGCAAGGTGAGAGTTTTTTGGTCGCGAAGTTTTTTGGTGTATTCAGGCTGGTCGAATCTAGAGAAATAACGGGTGTACTTGTACTCGTAAAATTAGGTTGCAATAAATCATTTTAATCAAGCAAGAGGTAATTCTTTGTCATATTTCATGCAAATTACAGATATAACCTTGGAAAGAAAATCACTTGGACTGCTGTTGTGCATGCAGTTTTCGAATGGTTTCGTTGAGGTCATATACAGTTGGATACATACGGTGGAGCGGAGTCATTTCACCCTAAAAAGCAAACTGATTTAGCACAAGGTACTAGTTTTAAGGGTAATGTCATTAGGATCTAATAAAGGTAGCATGGTAATAGCGAATAAGTGAATTCCACTAGAAACAGTACCTTAACTTCAAATGACATTTCAGAGTGAACATCGCTGAACGTAATGCCTCGGCAGTTTGAAGCTTCATGATCTAGGTGTACGTACTGGAACAAAGAGTGTTTTAGCGAAAAATATTTCAGAAGCCTTTTTAAAATAGCAAAACCTAACATTTACACGAGAACCATCTTTTCTCGGTTCGTCATAGTATCGAATATCCATGATCCGGCATTTATCTGTTTTGGAGCGACAGTTGAAAGTTGTCACAAATCTCATTCCCAACGCTTTCCCAAGACTCTCAAGTTTGCAGAATGTTTTTACGTCAGGAGTTCGCAAGCGTACCTGAAGCATTCTCTAACAAGACTGCACGGTGTGCAATTCTTACATACGGAGCCGCTGCAGTTCAGCTCTCCAAGTACGTCGTTGTATCCAACTTCCAGATCAGGATTGGATGATGTAGCTGCCAGTATAGAACTAAAAAGGGCAAAGACCGACTGCTCATTGGGACAACAGCGACTTACACGATCAACGACTTCAGACTGCTTACGGAGTTTTTACAGTACATTCTGAAAAGTGATTTTTGCAAGGGCGCCTCGGTGGACGCAAAAGCCATCTGAAACCTCAAAAGAAATTCAACATCATTCTCGCAATGAGTATCCTCCTCGGTATGTGACAAAAGCATCGAATCTACGTTAACTCTACCTGGATGATGAAGAAAGTAAGTAAATGAATAAGCTTTACATTTATACACTTCGTGATGTCGTCTTCATTCACATATTTACTGAGGACGACCATATGCTGAGGACGTTCGTTAACATGCGTGTACGCATGTCTCACCAGCTGCAGTAGTATATCTGCAAGACAAAAAATAATCATTTGCTATCAGGCTATCTCTATCTCACAAGTCTTTTCCTGACCCTTCATCGCAATGAGTAACATTTTTTCTATAAGTTTTACAGTATTTTTCGGCAGAGCAAGCAAGCACTAGGAGATGGCGTTGAGACATTTGCACAAAGTTTCACACATACAGTTTGGTGCCAAAATCTATAATGTTATAAATGCCCGGATCGAAAAATATCTGATTACTGTTCAAAAGAAAAAATCCTGCGGACCCTCATGTTTAGCCTCTTCGTCCGGTAGCGGCCTATAATAACTGGGGGTGGTGCAGGAGGAACCAAAGCGCGCCGTCTGTATCCGCAGGAGATAATTAAGAGCGCGAGCGCCGTGGATAATATTTTGGCAAGGATCCAGAAAAACTTGGCAATGACATCCTCTAGGAACTAACCTTCATAACTTTGCCTGGAGATGACTTTGAAAATTTGAAGAATTTTGAAGTTTCAAATTGCTGAGGACCGGGACTTTCATTCAAAATTCTTTTTTTTCTTTAAGATAAAAGTTAGTTTGCCTCTCGCGTCAATGAACCAAAGCAAACAAAATGTTACAAAAACACATCTGAAGGCTTGCGTCAAGATACAATGCGTGATACAATACGTAATTAACTTGTCTCATAACTTCAAACCTATTCTAATTTCAAAGTTTGACCTAGAGGTTTCATGGGATTTGCCATTGAAACTCTGCCCGTAATCCTTTCGAGTTGTACGGAATAGCAAAAGTTCATCACATGCAATTTGAAATTATTTCCTGATTAGCACTTCCAACTTTCAACTTTGAAACTAGAAATTTTACTAAAAATTCACTTAAAAGTCATTCGCACAACATTGAACTTGAAATCATTTTTTAGGGGTGAATTTTAAAGGCACAATTTATGGTAGAAATGGAACTCTACTAGCAAGGCACAATTGTTTGTCTATACTAGAAAAATGCGCATTTCAATACTGGTTCCAAATCTGTTCTTGTATCCTTGAAAGTTCATTGCAAGAAAAGTTATAAGGGTTTGTTTCTAGTGGATTTTCTCGCCACATTTTCCTGGATCCTTGCCAAAATCTCCTCCACAGCGCTCGCGCTCCTAATTATCTCCTACGGCTACAGGCGGCAGGCCCTCGGTTCCTCCTGCACCGCATCCATAATAACTTATAGGCCGCTACCGGAAGAGGCTAAACATGAGGGTGCGCACGCGGTTCATCAGCTACAGAGCGCATGAGGCAAGTTTCACAACGGTGAAGTCGCGCCGCGTTCGCGAACCCCAAACTGTAATGTTGCTTTTGCCCCTTCGCCTGGCAGTGGTTTCCTGTACATAGCAATTGTCGATTTTTCTTCGCAGCAATTTTTTTTTTGGACGAAAGCATGGCGCTAGCCATTGCGAGATTTTTTTGTGATGCTTACCAACTTTCAACTTGCAACAAGGAAACCCAAGCCCCAAAAAATATTTTTGCCAAGCAGACCAAACCTTCAACAATTCTGAAATTATCTTAGTGTCTGCAAGTAAAACAAGTCTTGTGCAATGCACATTCTTATGACTTAGTAGATTAACAGAAAGTTCGGAACCGATTCGCAAAAAAGGAGCAGGAGGGGAAGACTCTCTTTTTTCACACTCCCGCCCCGGCCTTCTACTACGCAGTATTCATTTAGGGGTGAAAAAATAGGCCTTTCTACCCGGATCGGTTCTAATTTGAAAGGAAAATGTAGACCATTCTCAAACTGTTTCGTAGGATCACTTTTGCAAAACTCGTACACATGTAAGCCTGAGAACGCACCTTTTGGAATCATGGCATTTAACTTTACATAATGTATTGATCGCGCCCATGCTGGATCCCTTTTCATATTTTCCAGGAAGTCCTCGACTTTCCTTACCGAGGATTCATTCTTCTGACTCTGAAGCAGCCGATATTAAATTACCTGCGAAAGCTTTGTTAGAATTGGAATGAGGTATAGCAAGAGCAATTCTACAGCTCATGACTTCGACAAAAGGCATAGTCTATCTACAATACGCAAAAATCTTTCAGAAATCTTGCATTAGATACTACTACCAATCTCACATTGATATATATATATATACTAGCTGGCTTGCCCGGCTCCGCCGGGCCTGCCAGCTAGACCCGTGTACGTATGTTCCAAATAGAAAATTCCATTTCTGAACCGATCCGGACCAAACTTTGCACACATACACTTCGGGCCCCGGCGGGTGTCACAGTCCACTTTTCGTTATCGATCGATGTCGATTATACCGATTTTTATCGATCTTTTTTGCAGAGTTCACCTACAGGGCTAGGAGTTGGCACAGGGGGGAAGTGAGCATGGGGATTCCGAACACAATATTAGTTTTCAGAATTATCGATTACTTTTATTGATTTTATCGATTTTTTTGTAAATTTTGACCTGCGGGGCTGGGAGTTTGCACAGGGGGGTAATCGAGCATGCTGATTACGAACACAATATTAGTTTTCAGGATCGTCCATTACTTTTATCGATTTTATCGATTTTTTTTGTAAAGTTTGACCTGCGGGGCTGGGAGTTTGCACAGGGGAGTAATCGAGCATGCAGATTACGAATACAATATTAGTTTTCAAGATCGTCCATTACTTTTATCGATTTTATCGATTTTTTGAAAATTTGAGCTAGGGGGCTGGAATTTGGCACAGGGGTGTAATCGAGCATGCTGATCACCCCCCTTGGGGATGATCAGCATGCTCGATTACCCCCCTGCGCCAACTCCCAGCCCCCTAGCTCAAACTTTGCAAAAAAATCGATAAAATCGATAAAAGTAACCGATAATCCCGAAAACCAATATTGTATTCGGAATCCCCATGCTCGACTACCCCCCTGTGCGAACTCTCAGCCCCGTAGCTCAAACTTTGCAAAAAAATCGATAAAATCGATAAAAGTAATCGATAATCCTGAAAACCAATATTGTATTCGGAATCCCCATGCTCGATTACCCCCCTGTGCCAACTCCCACCCCCGTAGCTCAAACTTTGCAAAAAAATCGATAAAATCGATAAAAGTAATCGATAATCCTGAAAACCAATATTGTATTCGGAATCCCCATGCTCGATTACCCCCCTGTGCCAACTCCCAGCCCCGTAGGTGAACTCAGCAAAAAAATCGATAAAAATCGATAAAATCGATATCGATCGATGACGAAAAGTAGCCTATGACACTCGCCGGGGCCCAAAGTGTATGTGTGCCAAGTTTGGTCCCGATCGGTTCAGAAATGGAATTTTCTATTCGGAACATACGTACATACAGACATACAGACAGACATACAGACAGACATACAGACATACAAACAGACATTCAGCTTTATATATAAGATATACATATATATATACATATATAATTCAGAAGGCTTACGAAGTACTGACATGTTGAGCAATACTTGGAGATATTTGTGAACTATTTTCGTTAACGAAGCGGTCAGTATCTGTACTAAAGCCGCGTGGCACCTCGACTTCCTTATCCTGAAAGAAGGTCACATGTTATTCAGTCAGAATGTGAGAATTTGATTAAGAGGTATGGCTTGAACAATATGTGATGTCCCAAGTGATTTCCAACACTGTTTTTCATCATGATCAGACTTCATTTAAACGAAGCCTTCAACGCTACTATGTGCGTAACTACGCACCATCTCCAGTCTTGATGGTCATGAGTGCTCTCAATCTGGCGCGAACAGCGCACAAGCAGATGAATACTGTCAAACACCCAAGCACTGGAAAGTAGTTGAAGTTGACCGCAAAAACATACGAATAGTCCTTCTTACCAGGGAGTACCGGCTTCGTAACCAGCATGTCAAACAATCCTAGTGCATCAATTTTTAGCAAGGACTGAAGCTTTTGTATATTGGGCTACCTAAGCCCAACTGTGGGGCACAGCAACTGTCATCTCAATATGGTTAACCTTGTTAAAAGATGACTTAGCTGCTTCTTTTTACACTCAAATCGAAGCAGTTCATTCCTTGGTCCATATTATTCAGCAATTATTCCTTGTAAAGTGAGGAAGCGAATTAGGCTCGATTCATGCTTGTGAAGACTACAAAATTTAAGCTTGAGAAACTTGCATAGATTATTTGGCAATACTTCTATGTGAAAAAAATGGAGCTTGGCACAAGACCAAAAAGGGTGTGGCTGCCACAATTTGCCTGTGCGGCATCCATGGATTTTGTTACAGAAGAACTTTTGGCAATCGATAATATAGTGCCTGAACTTCTACTTCCAATGAGAATGATTTTACCCTGATTCACTTCCATTTGTGTCAGTGACAGCTCTTCAAGCGCTCTTATCGGGAACAGAAGTGCAGTTTTGGCCGTAATCTAATCCATTGTTTGGTGGTTGTTGAGAGGTGGTTTCAAAGAAAATGAAGAAAATAAGCCATGGTCTTCAAGAGAGTTTCTTGAGCACAGTCGCTACATGCAGCGGCTGCATGACTGGCCAACGAAAAGAACCCACAGTCTTGGGTGTGCTGCAGGTTTGCTGCGCGAATAGCCTTGTCAAAAACAAAAAGCCCCAAAATGTCCAAAAGCCAAGTTGCTCCAAAGATGTTCGGGACACGCCTAACCAACAATTTCCACCAATGACCCTTTACTTCATCGAGTTGGAGGGTGGAAGGCGATTGCTCGCTCTACTACACAGTCTGCGCCTCTCTCGCGAGCGCGCTCTCTAGTCATTCTCTAGCCTTGATTAAAGGCAGTGGATTGGCAAAACTTAACAGCGCAGGATTTTAACGCAGTAGGGTCGTTATCGCCCAAACAAAAACAGTGCAATCCCGGTTGCACAGCATGCCTTCCTTGCCGAGAAAACTGCTCTCATACTTACACGCGCACGCCAATCTTACACGCGCCCGGTCGAATTGGCAATTTCCTTCCCATCATTGGAGGCTGCCCGCCGCAATGCTATAACCATTGGGTCCTGCTACGATTCAGCGTCATCAGCCTTGCTCCGCTCGTCCAACTTCAAAAGGAAGGGCATCGAAAAATGCAGGTTTTCGCCGTTTTCAAGCTCTCTAAAGAGGATTTTCGGGATCAGCGTACTGAATAACCCCAGGTAAGGAAAAATTTGACTAGGTTGAGATTTGCCGAGCCACTGCCTTTAAGCCTTAAATCTCCGCCTTCAAGCCGCCATTCCCATTGAATCAAAGGATAGGGTGCGCGTTTAGTGCACAGATATGGTCTGAGGTTAGTGACTCTGCGGATCCAACCCCAAGAGGTTGTTCCGCACGTCTAGATTTGAAGAAGGTTTCGCGAAAGCATGTTTTCATTCTCGCTTCTCCAACTTGCATTTTCGGAATCATGGAGACAAATGAGCGCGGTTAAGCGAGAGCATTCCAAACAGATTTGGGAAGCGCCGCTGCCTTCAAGAGCTCGCAAATGATTGCACACCATATGATAATATTGGCCACACTGTTCACGTATTCACAATGCTGATGTAGTGCTTTGTAATGAGGAAAAAAAGAGTTGACTCAGCTCATCATTACATCTAAAGCCTTCTAGATCTTCCGTTCGATTATGTGCTTGCCGTGAGAAGATTTTGCGCTGATATCTGCGCGTGGACAACATAGCTACACCTCAGTAGCGTTTCGAGAATTTTCCGGGTTCCAAATGTACTACGCAATTCGACGTTTTTTTTTTTGCGGTATACTCAAAATTTTAGCGGATCTCTACAAAACTAATCTCTGTTTTCAAAAACTATCGTAATTATTTACAAGTAAGAATCCACTCGCACAATTCTATAGCTCATGTAAATAACTCTCAAAGATCTCTCTCTTCCCCCCCCCCCCCCTCTCCCCCGCCTTAGCCCTCGATCCGCCAGCGCTACGTCTGTAATGCCGCCCACTTGCGCGCGTGAAATGCCGGCATTACTGGCGCACCTGTTTGTCCAGTTACAAATACCTACAGATATTACCCCAGAATCTCGGCAACGCAATCACATTTTAACGGAGAAACTTCAAAGTGAAAATGCCAACCGCTGAATACCTCTGAAAAGCCTCAGCTTTCGCTAATCTGGCGCACAGAGTTCCCAACATGCTAAATGATAAAACTTTTCAACGGACTGTCTAAATGATACTCATCTTGCGTGGTAGGGCCTCTTCGTTATGCTTAACCCATTGACGACGACGCATTTTGTATGGCGGCGTTGTGGGGCGACGCGACTTTGCACAACACCTTCGGCATCGAGAAGTTTTGTGTACGAAATATAAAATTGTTTGGTAAACAGCCTCAATCATTTTCTTGGTCGACGAAGTCTACAGGTCCCAAAAGTGCAAGAAATTTGAAAAAAATTCTGAACTTTGGGGAAATTACTAATCCTGGAAAGGATATGCTTTTGCAAGGGGTGTGGGCCACCGATGGTCCACATCATCGTCCATTGATCAAAGTCAGGGTACGGTGGTAGATCAGTGAAAGGAGGGGGGGGGGGAGGGGAGAGGGGAAGGTCGTATATATCTGGTCTGCTCGACCCTAGACCATGGCCATTCGTGATCATCTATCATGATTTTGACCCATCTACCTGCCTACAGGACACCCTCATCAAGAAACGCCATATGAGTGTCGTTTTCATTGTGATATGCCATACAACCACTTTAAAAGAAGACTTCGGGATTTTATATTGTTAGGGCCGCGGTACTAACAGGTACAGTTGCAATGAAAGGTGAATAACGACAGTTTGCTTCTCAAACGATTACCTCGAAGTCACTGGCATTACTCGCAGCATCACTTGGAGACAGGGATGACTGGTGTGCAGCCTAAAGCATCGCTTTTGAATTCTTAGAACAAATTATGGTCAAGTGCGCAGGACATTGCTGATCTGAAGTTGACAATATAAAACTTTTGTTTACTACCATGTAAGCGTCGATGTCAACTTCTTCTGAAGAATTTAGTCGAATCGTGTCGCCAGAAGGTGTTTTCAACAAGGTATCGCCGCACTCCTGCATTTCGAGGTCTGCGAAGAACACTGGAATCGTCCGTTCAAAATCTGCTTAGTCGTACGATTAGGTTGTCCCAGAATTGTTTTTCTAGCAGATTTAGTCTCATTCGATGAAGCGAAGCAAGCTTACAAAATGACCGCCAAAGACCTCAGTCGTAATCCAGGTGTTGGAGCCAAAAATATACCACCTGAAAATTGGATTTCTGAGACAAAAAAAAAATCCTGCGGACCTCCAGCTTGGTCATTATACAGCAGACGCATAATAGTATATACCAAATGTGTCTTTCATGGAATTTTTCCACGCATACACGCGGGAAAATCTTATATATAAAGCTGAATGTCTGTTTGTCTGTATGTCTGTCTGTCTGTCTGTCTGTATGTACGTATGTTCCGAATAGAAAATTCCATTTCGAGCCGATCGGGACCAAACTTGGCACACATACACTTTGGGCCCCGGCGGGTGTCATAGGCTACTTTTCGTATCGATCGATATCGATTTTATCGATTTTTTGCAAAATTTGAGCTACGGGGCTGGGAGTTGGCACAGGGGGGTAAGTGAGCATGGGGACTCCGAATATATGATTAGTTTTTAAAATCGTGCATTACTTTTATCGATTTTATCGATTTTTTTGCAAAGTTTGAGCTAGGGGGCTGGAATTTGGCAGGGGGGGGGGGGGTGTAATCGAGCATGCTGATCACCCCCACGGGGGTGATCAGCACGCTCGATTATCCCCCTGTGCCAAATCCCAGCCCCCTAGCTCAAACTTTGCAAAAAAATCGACAAAATCGATAAAGGTAATGCACGATTTTGAAAACTAATCATATATTCGGAATCCCCATGCTCACTTACCCCCCTGTGCCAAATCCCACCCCCTAGCTCAAATTTTTCAAAAAATCGATAAAATCGACATCGATCGATAACGAAAAGTGGACTGTGACACCCGCCGGGGCCCGAAGGGTATGTGTGCCAAGTTTGGTCCGGATCGGTTAAGAAATGGAATTTTCTATTCGGAACATACGGCGGAGCCGGGTAAGCCAGCTAGTAGTCCATAAATAGCAAACTTCGCCCCAGCCCCTCCCATATATGTCTGTGTACTACAAGCCTTAGTAAGTTAGACCTTAAAATTTTTATTCTGTATATGCGTCAATTGAGAAATACTAAACTCATAAAACTCCAAAAAATGACATTTTGCATTTTCAGGCTATTTTACTTTCTTATTTTGAGCCCGAAAAAAATCCACCAAACACATTTTCGGGTACTACCAGGGTAGTAGCACGTATCAACTGTATAATGACCAAGTTGGGGATTACGACTCAGGCGGATCTTTGGCGGTCAGTAGAAGGTGCTTCACTTTTTCGAATGATACCTTAAGTTTGCTAGGAAAGCAAATACAGCTTGACTTATTCAGACAAGTTGTTTACTTTTCAACCTATTAGTTGTTCCCTGGAGTCTTTTCAAGTCATGCGATTTCGATTTGATGTGAAAGACTCGAATATATTGAAGTTCATATTTTGGAGTTATTCCATATACCGATGCCAAAAAAATGAAAGTCTCAGATTTCGCTGAAACTCATTTGACAATACTGATCACGAATATAATATTCATTCTTAACACCTTATTTACGGTTTAGGCAAACTCAAATTTTGCTGCAACTTGTGGGTGTAGGGGGTTATATGGCATGCTGATTGCGAATGTAATCGCTCGTTACGGTGACCCTTTACTGTGGGGTTTGAGTGGGTATATGGTATGGAGTCAAAGTTCCAGATTTGAGTGGAAATCGCTGGGTTATTCAATATGTCAAATGTAAATAACTAGTCCTTTGCATTGCAGGGCCCTTTCGGAAATTTCCGGGGGATAAACAAGTCGAAGTCGTTTATCTCTCTGGAATTTTGTGGAGGGCTTATCTAATGTTCCAATCATGAATTTGCATCCATCTTGTTGACAAGGCTTTCTCATGGTATTTCGAGATGTGGATTGACCTGTAAAGAGGGAAAGGGTTATTCAATTCCACGCTGTAATCTAACATAAGTCCACAAAAATGCATTACTGCGGCGAACGAGCTGATTTTCCTAGTCGGCATGCGTATATCCCCTGGACTAAAGTTCAGCTAAATCCGTGATTTCTGACTTAATCGTATACCTACCGTAACTCCGACATAAGGCCTCTATGCGGAAGTATGAAATTTGTGATCAGCTTGTCGAATAATTCGCCTAGACGGACCCATAATGTATACCCACCGTAACCCTAAAATAGGGCACTACCATAACAAATTGCTGTCATATTTTGATTCATGCAAATAACCCCTACACGGAGTTCTAGCTGAAGCAAACCCCTCTCTGCGAAGTTTCAGCGTAACAAGATTATATTTGGGGTCGGTAAATTGAAATACTACCGATGTTTCGATAGAACTGAAACACTGTTTTTCATACTAAGACTGCCAAGTTAAAGTCGATTAGATTTTCCGCTTAATATAGCCTGCTTGCACTGTAGGTGAAATGCGGTAAAATTCGCACGTGAAGAAGTAGCTAACCTTTGATTCAAATGGTTTAGCTTCTAAAAGGCGGGGCTTTGTGGCCTAATCAAGGCCGCTCGCGAAGGCGACGCACCTGCGTCTCTCTCGCGCGAGTACTCTCTGATCCTTACCTAGCCTTAATTAGGTCACGAAGCCCCGCCTTCCCGAAGCCAAGCCAGTTGAATCAAATGGTATGCGTGTGAAGCCTTCCGTATGCGCGCAAAGTGCCGGCTTGGCGTGGCTAATTTTTTACGCGCAAATTTTACCGCATTTCACCTACAGTGAAAGCATACTACGTTAAGCGAAAAATCTACTCGACTGCATGTGTTCAAATCAAAGCTGGCACGGCCCGTCAATTAAGAGATGCGCGACATTACGACATTGAAGATATTAAAATATCCATAAAGAGAAGACTCGTATGTCATGAACTACGTAAGTTCGATACATGCAAAAAATTATAGCAGCGACTAAAACTCAATCACTCAATGTAAGGAAATTACATACGAGTGGTATCTAGCGACTGCAGACAGCTGTACTCATCATCTCGAGGAATTTCGATATCATTATCGCAGTCATAATCTTGGTTGTCGCTCATGCTGACCTGTAATACTCTACTGGGAAAACATATCAGTAAAAACAGGTTATGCGAAGAATAGTAAGAGTTCAAAGTAAGAAGAACGGTACTAATCAAAAAACGCTGGACCGATGGCTTTACGAAAATACACGAGAGCACCTAGCCTATCGTAGTTCGGTTTTGTGCTGTGGCATACCTGTTCCATCGATTTTCTTTGACCATCACGGCTCTGCTTTGCCAAAGTTTAGAAAATGAATCACAACGGTAGCTATGATTACTACTGTATAAGAAGGTTTCTGTGAATTCCAAGCCGGCTTAGGCCAAAACATTCCATCTAAGGCCCCGGGCATAGTGGCGACGCGACTTGGCAATACTTCAGGTGCTTATTACTCGTCAATCTCAATTCGAGCGCACGGAAAATAGCAAATTTGATCGACTCACAAAAGTCGAATACACCTAGCATTTGTGGTCTGCGAGTGTTGGGTTTGAAGAGTCTGGCAAATGGCCAGATCGCGTGCCGACTGTAATCGAGAGGTATGACCAGGGCCTAAAAGGACCCGCTGCGAGAGACTTGCGCTATACCGGCGGGCGCGCAGCTGAAGCTTTACCAAATTAGCGTACAAAGGCAGTGCCTCACCGGAATTTGGGAGTAGGATTTCTGCGAACACAAGCCTTCCCAACTCTGTTTGATCTGGCAGACGGTCAAGAGGTGCGACATCCCCAGCTCTCACTACGTAAATCTTTAGTTCAAGCTGTTCGATGTTCCAAAAGTATCAGAGAAGTGAGTGATTGTTAGAGTTGCTACCTGCTGAGTTTGACGATTTTTGCTAGAGAAAAACTATTATTATGCGCATTTACATGCGATTTTGACCTTCAATATCTTTTGGATTTATTTAGAGAAGACTGATAAATCCATGCAACCACATCTAGCACATTCTAACAAAAAACTAAATTAATGTTATGGCACAATATATTAGGTCGGTGCAGTCTGTCAGTTTTTTGATAGTAACCCGCAAATCTCGTACAGGTAAGACAAACAAACAATTCAAGCTATGTTTAATGCGGAATGTCTTCCTCTTTCCCGCTGCCATATTTGCAATGTGACACGTTGAGAGAGTGCCGAGATAATCGCAGGAGATTACAACCTTTCGTTTACACCATGAGATGTCTAAATTTCGCTAATTTTCAAAAATTTTATTTGAGACTTTGTGGGGCAGCGGGGGGGGGGGTTTCGGTAGCCAGCAGATAAAGCAAACCCTTTGCCACCTGAAGCAGTTATTTGTAGCTCTATGACTTGTCTTTCAGAACTTTTCTATGGTTTAAAGTGACCAAATTATTCGATCTACAATACGATCATCTACGATCGCATCTACATTGTATGCAGTAGTAATAATCAAGTTCCAAAACCTCATTATTTTGAAGATTTTGCAGTGTTTGGTGCAGTAACAGTGCGGTTTTTCAAAACTTAAGACTTTTGGGAAATTACAAAATTCTAGAAGAGAAGTTGAGAAACAAAAAACTGCCATAGTTGGCATGGCACTTTATCTGCTGAATATCAAAGCTTCCTCGAAACTCGCAGATAAAAATCTTGAAAATTTGAAACAAAAGTTGGACTTGATGAAGACGTAGGGTGCAATCTCCTGCGATTACCTCAGAGCTCCTCCTATGTATAACATGAGGAACATAGAATCTAGAAAGAGGAAAAAATCCTGCATCGGATACAGCTTGAAGTGTTCGTTTGACTTTATTCTACCGTATTTTCAGTTTATTCAAAAAAATTGACAAAACTTTTGCACCGACCTATATGTGCTGCTTGACGCTCGTTTAGCGATAATCGCGCCTCCTTGACACAACCCAGTAAGAGGGTCCCTGATCAGGGCTCAGCACAGCTGGCACCGGGTCAAGCTGGATTTCGTTTTTAGGGCGGAAAGCAAAAGGGATATCGTTTCTACAGGGACCGAGGCGGAGAACTGCCGCAAAAATGCCGCCGGCATGCCACCGGCATGCCATTGGCAAGTTGTCCATCAACAAACAAAGGCGTTGTTTCCAGCCAAAACGCAATAGTATGACACCAAATTTGGTGTGTGCATGCGCGTTGGTGGACCGGAACTACGGGCCAAAAATTTATGAAAACTTATGTGAATGAAAGCTGTGCCGAACTTTTTTCTGAATTAGCTGGCACCGTGCCAGCTGGGTGCCAGCTGAGCTGGCACCGGCACTTTGCTTACATAAGTTTTCATACTTTTCTACATTAAATGTATCTACATTGTAAAAGATAACATACGGAAAAGAAACAGTTTCATAATGTTCTCTTTTCAGCGTTTTATAGCAATTTGAAAACCACTCGGTCCGCTCCGCAGTCGAAAAATCGATTTTTTCTACTTCTCAAGATGTGATTCGACCCCTTAAAAAGCTCAGAAAGCTGTGAAAAGTTCTTTCATGAAATCAGAAATGCATGAAAACACTACTGCATTTTTTTACATAATATAAAATTGATGACGGGTTTTCAAAACAGGTCAAAAGGGAATTCGTACGAATTTTCAATATCAAACGGGACTTCGTTTTGAAATTTCCCTGGTGCCAGCTCGTGCCGAGCCCTGTCCCTGATGAACTCCGTGAAAATCAGTATACCTCAAATCTGGCAGGGGAAGGCGGAGTTTTCATATGCGGAGATTTTGCACCTAGTTTTTCGCACCCACCACACACTTACTTCACCTCTCAACCTACGTAGTGAGTCAGAATTTCCGTTACGAGGAAGGGGAAAGGGCTGATCATCTTGACTTTTGGCAGTATGCAAAAATGCTAGTATTGCGACCAGCTACTGATTACGATAGAAAGGGAGATATTTATTATTGACAACTAAAGATAAACATCTGTAAGACACATAAATAAATACAGTCAAGTTATTTCTTTCTGTTGGGACACTGGCTTTAGAGGATCGAGGAACATCATGTGTCGGGGAACGGAACTCACTAGCTGACAGCCGATACCGAATTAATTAGTTCCCGGTACGTTGGGGTGAGGTGACTTGAGTTACCTCACCCCCATGTGTCTTGTCACGATGACCACGATTGTGCGCCGAACCGCCATACCCGCTGGAGACAGTTGAGAGCCACGGCTCGGCACGAGGTGGCTAGATGAAAATGGAAAAAACGAAGTCCCCCTTGACTTTTGGGAATTTTTACGAAGTCCCCTTTGACCCTCAACCAAATTTCCTCTAAAAACCAGAAAAATTCCCCAAAATCCCCCAAAAAACGAAACGTCGACTAAAAAAAGAAAAAAGAAAAACGTCGCCAATTTTGCGTCTCTCTTCGGTCACGAAAACGAAACCCCCTTTGCTTTTTGTCCCAAAAACGATATCCAGCTTGCTTGTAAGCCACTGTGCCGAGCCCTGTTGAGAGCGACTAAGTCAAAGTGGCCTTTCTAGGTCTAATTTACACAATTTTGAGAAGCATTGGACGCTGATTTCAAAGCTGTCTGTTGTATCTGCTGTGCGCCTCTGCGCGCCGAGTTATGAACAGGATTGTACGTTGGAAAAAATCAACGCGTAAATAACACTGAAGCAAAATCATGCGGAACTGCTCAGATAAGCCAGTGTTGGGTATTAGTGCAATGAGTACTTCCTAACTATTATATTTAGACTCGTCACTGTTTTATTTAAGCGATAGAGGGACCGCAAGCTGATTTTATTCCATCCAAAAATACTTATAACTCGGCGTTCAGGGGCGCGCAGCAAATACCAAGATTTGGAATCAGCGACTGATTTCATGTGAAATTTATAGAGCTCAACCGAAAATGCCATTCTACTAAAGGCGCATTCCTTGTCAGTTTGCATCTAGTCATTGTTAAAACAAGCTTGTATGGTCTGCAAGTGCGCAAAATTATTGGGCCGATCACTGTCGAACGAAAGCGATCTGCACCACAGTCGATACCCATGATTGACCGCAGCCACAGTAGATTCGTGTCCGTCATTGTCGTTGCCGGAAGCGGGTGATAGCGCAATCAAGTATGAAATAACTCTTATGACTTCGTGGCATAACCGGCTCCGCTCGTCTGTATGAATTAAGCTGTAAGGCCCTGGGCATACTCTCGCGATTTCAGTCGCGGCGCGATTTGGCAATACAATTGTTTATAACTCTTAAAGGGTTTCTGAATGTATGGAGAACAGGGCATTTCAACCGCCTATGAAAGTTCTACATGTTGCGCATTTGTGGTCTGCGATTATTGAGTTGAAGACATTTGGCAGATTGCCAAATCGCGTGACGACTGAAATCGAGTAAGGTATAAGGTATGTCCACGGCCTAACGGCAACAGGGCCGCGCAGTGCAGTTACACTAGTGTGCGCGAGCTGGCTTCCCAGCTATGCCTAGAGGTAACATAGCTCCTACTTATCCATTAAACAATATGAAACAGGCAGAGAAGTTAAGAACCTTGATTTCGTTCCTGCGTAGGATGCTAGGCCGCGCGCGTGTCGGTGCGGCTGCACTTGTTGCTAGATGGCCTGTTGCCGTGATAGCACCATTTCCCCAATTCCAAGCAACATCCCCCTGTTTCTGCTCATTTTCACACATACGCCAGCTCCCTGCTCCATCTGAGCAACACAGTGTTTTCAGAACCAGCACTCTCACTTATCCTTCCCATTGTACCAACACTCGGGTCAGACTTTAATGGGTCGATAAAATTAATGAGGACAACAGGTGGTTTCAAGAGTGGTCAACATCACTTTGTTTGACACTCATTAGAATTTTATCAAAACTGTGCCGACATTGTCGGCACCTTCCTCATATCCTATCATCACCTCTCCTAAGCACCGTAAAGGTCATGCCATAAGCATGACCTGCTGTGATATGAGTGTATTATTGCCCAGATGTTTGTGATACCACTTTACCACGCCTTCAATCCACAGCATTCTACCATGGCACCCATGCGGCATGTTGATTGACTCAATAAAGCTGCTGAACTAAAAGGCGCTATTTCCGCCTAAGGCACTGAAAGCCACGGAGCCACCACATTTATGGTGCATCGGCTAAATACGTGAGACCGATAAGTTCTTCGCCTCAGCGATTGCACAAAGGTTAGCTAATCTAACCTTGGGACCTAGTGCCCAAAATTCGCTGCCTCGCACCTAGCGACAGCCATTCTCCTCCGCATCAGGGACTAAATCTTCCCAATTTTTGCTCAAAATTAGCAAACGTCTCAAAAAGCAGCCTATCTTCCTAACAATTTTTGAACATTAAAATGTCTCTAAAATTCTTCAAAGAGGCAATCTCGCTTCACTCAAGAGCATTAGCAAATCTGCTCAAAAAATTTGACTCCTGCAACTTCAAGCTCAAATTCACTTTAGAAATTGATAGAGAGCTTCAAAGGAAATGTTTGGAAAACCTAGATATTCTCCTTTCTTGCCTATCACAAGTTAGAGCAAGAACGACGATTTTGGATTCTATGGTCGACCAATTGGGAAAATTCTATCTCAAGCAGTCTAAAAGCGAGAGAAAAACTATCATACTCCAGCTAGAAGAGCTTAAAAAGGAGCTTGATTTTTACCAATTGCTTTCTGATGCTAGTATCTTTGATATCGCTGTAGAATATCAGATAGTATATGCAAAAACAGACAAGAATTTTGCATCAAGTCAAGTAGTTGAAGAACAGCAATCCAGTCTTTTCAATCATTTTTTACTTGATGCGAAAAAGGAAACGGATGCTCTGGCAATCATAATGGACTCCTCAACGATGGAAGAAGACAAGGAAAGTGAAGAGCGCCTCTGTCAACAGTCCAAGGATTGCACATTCATGACCCGCGGAGATGCCATACCAGCAAAAGATGATATACCGACTTCGCAGGTCACCATGCCTGGAAGCGGTAAACGACGAAGCAATGATGAGATCGACAGGCACCTGATTGGAAACTCGCGACGATGCAAGGAGAGTAAGAAGAATTATCATTATTCCGTTCACTTTCCATTTTTGCCGTTGATGAATTTAGATATACTAAGACATCATAATTGTCCATTATACTCTGCCTTAATGCCACTTGCTTCTCTGCAATCTTATGCCAGCTGGCACCAGTGCATTCACCAGCATTCCGCTCCCAATTACCACGCTCCCCAGCTACGTCCATTAAGGTATCCTGATAAATATTCGCTTGGTATTCTTAGTTACAGTGTTTACATTAATGCTCCTCGTTTCGCTGTTCCTTATTTGTTTCCCCTCGCCGGCGGGAGTGTGCCGACATTGTCGGCACCTTCCTCATATCCTATCATCACCTCTCCTAAGCACCGTAAAGGTCATGCCATAAGCATGACCTGCTGTGATATGAGTGTATTATTGCCCAGATGTTTGTGATACCACTTTACCACGCCTTCAATCCACAGCATTCTACCATGGCACCCATGCGGGCATGTTGATTGACTCAATAAAGCTGCTGAACTACCTTGTCTACCAGCAGCTACACTGCTCCACCAAAGGCGCTATTTCCGCCTAAGGCACTGAAAGCCACGGAGCCACCACATTTAAACGTTCTCTTACCTAAGGATCTCGGTTAAGTTTTTGCCCAAGCGGATTGATTCCGATTCATTCGTGGCCGATTTAACTCTTCGTCCAGAACCATACTCTTTCCGAGCCGACAGTCGGCACATCGTACGAGAGTATGTAACCTTTGATTCAACTGGCTTGGCACCATTAGGGCGGGGTTTTGTGATCTAATTGAGGCCGCTCGCGCCCGCGACGCACCTGCGTCTCTCTCGCACGAGTGCTCTCTAATCATTACCTAGCCTTAATTAGGTCACTAAGCCCCGCCTTTGCCGATGCCAAGCCAGTTGAATCAAATGGTAAGGGGAGTGATTTAGAATTGCCTCTGTCACGAGTACTGTTTGGAGTTCGCTTACACAGTGACTTGTTAGATTGGACTTTTGATCTCCACATAAGCCCACATTTTGTGAAATTTGTCAGTGCCTTTAATAACAGATGGGACTTTGCACCTTTCGACGTTTTCCGGTGTAGTTCGCACACGAGTGTGATCATCTTGTAATACAGCAAAATAAGCATTTTATATACATGATATATGCACCACCACTTCAGGACATATCTGAAGTTGACATAGAACAGACAAGATACTTCAAGATACAACTGATAATACTCTGAAATTGCAGTCACTTAAAGCTCCATCCGATCGATATTTTCCCGTTTCTTGTTCGCATTCTGAGCTAGATTTTTGAAGTGTTGGGAGTTTTTGAACTCTCGGTAAAGAGAGAATAAACAGTGAAGGGATTGTATCCGTCCACCTTTTATGGGAATATCGAGCAATCCTAGGCATATGTCGGCATACTCTTCAAGATCGACGTCTAGCTCGGATGTAGGCAGCTAAATTACGGATTCATGTATTCCGAATATGAAACTGCTACAGTGTTGTTAATCAGCGATATGTATTTTTTGCCATGCTTTTAAGGAAATATGTTGAACAGCATGTTTTCATGTGATCTTACACGTTTTGAAAAAACTTGGTCATTAGATAGAAACCTTTCCGACATAATGAAACGAGTACAAAGTGGGGCAAAAGTCTGAGAGCCTACTTTGCATTGCTGTAAATCAAGAAACTACTGATGATTTTGACTCCAAATTTGTGCCACATATTGCTGCGATCATCCTCTACAAATCCCACTTTGGGCTGGCTAAAATGCTTGCCATATTTTTTGTAAGAGTTGAATTTATCAAACATGTGCTCTGCAAAGCGAGAAAATCGAAATTTTTGTCTTCACAACTTATTTCGCAGCTAAAGATACAGTGGATATTCTAGAGCACTTCGACGCACACAATATAGAGAAGACTTTGCGCTATCAATATGAGTCGTTGCGTTTGTCAGATACTATTCTTTAGAAAACGCAAAATAAGAATTTGTGAACACTACTTGCGTGCCAAAGGCCAATTTTTTTCAAGATAAATTTGAAAGCTATAGGAGCACAGCAGGCAATTCTGGGCTATATTCTTCCCATGAGTCTTCTTTGCAAGCATGTTCTTGAGTTCGATCGATCAAGCAATTTCAATACTTTTCAGATTATGATATTTCGCTCCCGCTCGCGCAATCGCATCCAGATTTCCAGTATACCAGTACACTCGCCTTCAATTAAAATTCCAAAATTTTTTAACACTGCAAAAATTTTCTTTGTAATACGCTGTAGCCAAAAGCTTGCTCTCTCACACCGCACATTTGCCTGGTGAGAAAAACAGTTATCGTAAAGCCGCAGGACGAATTTCACCACGACCGTCTGCGTGCCACGACAGGCGGACTCGCCAAGATTTCGAAAGACTGCTTTGAAGCAATCTCAAATTTGAGAGCAGCGCTGTATTTGTAAGGGTTCGATTTATGTGTGCCCCGAACCTTTTAAAATCACTTTCTTTCTGATTTTATCTAAAAAAGTACTAGGCTCCCAGACTTTTGCCCCACCCTGTACATCTCCTGAATAGAACTTGTCTACTTGTCCGATGTGCTATAATATATCTGCAAGAATGTCGAAAACGAGAAGAATCACAAGAGAACATCAATAATATGTGTCGCAAAAGGGACATACCTTGACACCGTCAAGCGACTGTTCGAAAAGAGGGTGAAATTCTTGCATGAGACTCTCGACATCTGGCATATTATAGCCAAACTGCAAAGTTGACTGAGGCGGTCGTGTTCGGTGAAGATCCTGGAATAAGCCATCCGTGATCAACAGTTTATCGTATGAAGCACTGCAAAAAATTCCAAAAGCCCATTTCTTTTTTGTAAGAAATAGCTCAGGAAGAATCGACAAGATACGGTGGATGCCCACAGAAACACGATACGAAACTACGAAGGCTTAATCGGTTGTTACAAACCTTTATATTACTGATCCATTTGTCAATTTCATGGGTGGATTTGTCGGCTCGCTCCAAGCGTCTGACGGGTGTGTCACCTTGAGTTGTTATCTGAATAAAGCGTTGCAATGACTTCAAATAGCTGTAAATCGTATCGTAATCGTACATCTCTGTTTGTACGCCGCAGCTGCATAGCCAAGATTGTAGGGTCGGTTTGCTGGATAGCTGGCTCGTCTAACTGAGTGATGCCAATATTATCTTCAACCTGTAATGACGACTGTATAGTGAATCAATTAAGGCACTTCACCGCCGCGTACTTCGTCGGGGCGTGGAATTTTGATCATAGCGTCGATGTCGCCAATAGCTGGCATGTAGTCCATGATAAAAAGTCGCAATAGGGGGCGCGGACGAATTTCCTCAGGACGATAAGCATCCACGAATGAGAAGAGCTGTTGTTCGCTTTGATTAAAGTCGTGCATGTTGTTGAAATCCGAGTCTGAGTACTCTGAAACTGCACAGAAAGTTTAGTTTAAAAATCTGCTTCGCGTCGCATCCAAACGAACGGGAAGAAGAGGGAGATTAAAGATATTTTTTGCAAATGTTTAGTTTAAATTATTTTTTCCCGGCAGATATTCCATTGGAATTATGCCGTCAATAATAGCGTCACTTGCTAAAATGTTTCCTACTTGGCGCGAGAAGTAAAAGATGTTTAGATAGACGCGAGCTTGAAATAAGCGGAAGAAAAGTTTTATGTCACGAAGCACACGCGGCATATGGGCACCATATTGGGGAAATGTAGCCTCACCAATAATTGGAGGCGGATTAGTCGCAATTGATATTTGAGACCAAATGCAAGATGATCGTTGTTGCAGCTCAAAGTTCAATATACTCTATGCGTTTTGAATGGTTAGAAAAAAAACGATAAGCAGAACGGAAGTCAGATCTGGAATCACCGTTCCAAGACGGGATCAATAATTACACTCATCTCAAAAGGCCACGGACAACGAGTGTCGTTCCTTTGTCAGCTATTACATGGATCGGTAGAGGACGATATGTCAGCAGTAAGCTCCACCGCAGACGGCTGCCGTGCAAAGTTGCGTGTTTGTTGCAGACGCCCATCATGGGACCTCCCCTTTCGGCGATATAACGTCCCCTACCCTACATGGATTACACGAGCGAAGCGGAGAACATCGTTTGATAATCGGTTCCAGATGGTTCTGAGTTTACTTCAAAACCTCAACTAAGAGTTCTTCGATTATTTCTACCAGAAGATCGATGTGTTGTGTAGAATCTTGAGGCCAGTTATCCCGTAGGCAAATTTGGCAAGATTTACTGTTGAAAGTAAAGTGCAGTAACTCACTCATAAGGCCTCAATCAGCTTGAAAGCTGTTGCGAGGAAATAGCAAAGTGCGTTCGATCTCGCAGTTCGCAATACTGCGACAAACCGAATTTCAGCTAATTGATGTCATTTGATTACATCGGGAACACTATGGAAGCTCAGGCGTTGGGGAGGTGGCAGAAAAACTACACAACAGTATGAAAATGTGAGAAAGCAATCCGGAAAATAGGAAAGACGAGACTCATTTTTGCATCGACTGATACGACGCTGGGCAGCGCGCAGGTGTTCCATAAAAATGAGCTGGATTTCCCAGCCTTTACATATGGAAAAATCTCACCTTGACTATCGCTGTCGCTGGCCTGATCAGCACGACTAGCACGTTTCATCATTTGCTGGAATGGCAAAGCCACCTTGGACATAATCAGATCGTTCAGTGTATTCCGAGGAGGGTTTCCTAAATGCTAACTTACACTAATATAAATAGTATTTCCGTTTATCTTTGGCACACAGAAACCACGTGGGACGCACGTCAACTCAATATTCACTGTAAAGCTTGTTCTAACCGAAAAGCGCATCAATGATTCCATTTCTAAAGAAATCAACAGAAGCTATCAAGGTTTCAATAAGCTCTCACTTCTTCATCGCCCACACTCATTTGTAAATGAACTATGCGCCGTGCCGTCGAACAATGTTGGAAGCACGGACTGACTGCAGATCACGGCACGCGCCGCGTGGCCAAAGACCTGTATAGTCGTCCTCACCCCACTAGTCGGTCGGTGGACGAATTCGAATTCGAACTGGAGCAGGCAGGTTGCGGCAGAGCACGGCACCTTAGCTCTCCGTTCAAATTCACGCATTCACTTTGCGTATTTCTTCGCCATTGCTTAGCAGTTTTTGTATTGTTACAACGTTTTTGACCGATATTGAGTTTTTGTAATTGCTGAGCGTTGTCTCCTGCCGCGCTTTGCCGTGACAGGCCTGCTCCAATTCAAATTTGAATTCGTCCACCGACCGACTAGTGGGGTGAGGGCGACTATACCCGTGAAATCGCTAGTGCGCGCTCTAGTGATATTTCAGCCGCGCCGCGCGTGCTCCGCTATCTACGGCCAGTCGTGCGTTCGACGACTCGACGGTATTTGTATTCTATTCCGAATTGGATGAAAACTTCTCATATTACCCTTGCTAGGTATCTAGGTATGTCTCCGCTAAGTACCAAAGAAAGCAACGGATTTCGAACTTTTGACATTCGTTTCACAATCTAGTCCAGTGACATGACGTGACGATTTTTATAGCTCAAAAATCCCTTGGCTGCTGAAGTTAGGCATTTAGGAGAAGTTTTATAAAGCTCATTATTCTTGACCAAGCACTCAAAACATTTCTTCTCAATACCACCAATTCAGTTCCTCAAAAGAATTGGCAAATGCTGCTATGAAAATTGTTTTTATTTCTTCGCAAACACCATTCCATATATCAGCTCAACCAAGGTGCAAACTTCGGTATCTTTTGAAAACATAATGCTAGTTGAAATGTGAATGTTGTTTTTCTGATCGTTGAATTACATTGCAGTGAAAATAGTAGAATAAGAGTTCGTTGCTCTGACATAAATTGGTTAGGAGTCTTGAAGCTCGATAGATATGTTCATCAAGGGATAACCTGCCAACTTTTTTGATACCTGGCACTTATTTCAGCTACAGCTTCGTCAGCAATGGACATAGCAAGTTTTTTCAACAAAAGGGTCCGCAATGGAGAAGTATCAAGATCTGTCGTGAATAGGAAGAAGGGTCCGTTAGGTAGAGCCCACATATCGCGTGCTATGCTTTCATAATTATTCTATTAGATCGCCGAAAGTTTCGTCTCTTGAGAAATTACGAATTCTTCGTAAGATGGACAGTTCGAATTGCAACCATGGCAACATTTCCTAGCCAACTAGCCCCAACAGCCATGTGTAAACGACCTCCTGACCATTCAGATTATTTTCACCATCAGCCCGTTACGTATCCTGTGAAATTTGGATTTTTACCCTTGAAACCGAATCGGAAAGACATGCTATTAATAACATGATGGGAAGCTCCGCATTTCATATTCCTCGTTATTGGTAAAGCTGAATGCTAAATTATCCGTCATACGTGTGTGTCACTTTCCTGAGGGAAATTTCCTTCGAGTTTAGATTTGTTAGATATAACAAAGAAGTTCTCTTGCATTAGTGGATTCGAAAAATTCAAATTTAGTAATGATGTAGTTTCTAGACAAACCGTCGACCTCACTTTTCGACTCGTCGGTCTTCGGAATTGACGGAGGGCTCTGATAGGCTGGCGGAGACGACGGTGGATAAGCGATACTGGCTGGCAAGTCTAAATTTGAGAATAGTTTTGATAGTTTGCATGAAAAACAGCTCTCTTTAGACTACGTTAGCAAAGTTTACTGAATGTTAGCATTCGGCAATTATTTGATCACTCCTAACAATGCCAACATGATGTCGTGGCTGAAAATTAGCATGATAAGAAGAATTAAGAGGAAAATATGGAGTGCGAAGTAATATAGGGTAGCTGTTTGGTTAAGTCATATTCGTCAAAAAATGATAGTCGGACCAGACAATCAGCACAAACATTCGTGGATGTTATCAAGCGATGAGACCACAGGTGCGATAGTGTGAGAATTTTCTCACCCCCTCTTCACCCCTGAGCCGGGACCAAGGTGACCCCCTTCACCATAACCCGAGAAAAAAATCAACAGTGAGGTAAGGTTAAGCAAAGGAATTATTTGTACGTGAATTGTTCATGTATAGGAAAGGAGGAGTCTGTTGAAAAAAGTGCTTGGTGACGGGTGTGATTAGTGATTTCTGGAGATTTTCGAGTTTTTGACGTAAAAAAATTCATAACTTTTGTAGATGAACATGTTTCACAGCTAGATGGTCACCGTTAGAACCGCCTCGTTCTCCGCTCTCAGAAAATGTACAGCAGGTTTGAGATCCATTCAAAAAAGTGCCTGGTGAAGGATGTGCCTAGTGATTTCTGGGAATTTTCGAGTTTTTAGGATAAAAAAATCAGTGACTACTGCCGATGAATAGCTGGTGCAAGGAAATAGTCATCCGGAACCGCCTCGTCCTCCGCTTTCAAAAAATATACAGCATGTCTGAGATCCATTAAAAAGTGCCTGGGTGAAGGGTGTGCTTGGTGATTTTTGAAGATATTCGAGTTTTTAACATAGGTAAAAGAAATTCATAACTTTTGTAGATGAACATCTCGTACGCCGAGATAGTCGCCATTGGAACCGTCTTGTCCTCCGCTTTTAGAAAATATATACTTTGCGTGGGGTCCGTCAGAAAAAGTGCCGGGTGAAGGGTGGGTGAGACTTTTATAATGGGAGTGCCCAAGTACAGGCTTTTTTACCATTGTAAAAAGACGTCTACCTGAGCACTCCCATTATATAAAAGTCTCACCCACCCTTCACCCGGCACTTTTTCTAATGGACTTCAGGCAAAGTATATATTTTCTGAAAGCGGAGGACGAGACGGTTCCAGCGGTGACCATCCCCGCGTACAAGATGATCATCCAAAAAGTTATGAATTTTTCTATGTTAAAAACTCGAAAATCTCCAGAAATCACTAGGACACCCTTCACCCAGGCACTTTTTTTAACGGACCCCAGACAAAGTGTATACTTTTTGAAAGGGGAAAACGAGGCGGTGTCAATGGTGACGGCTTAATCACGGCGTACAAGATGTTCATCTTCAGAAGTTACGGATTTTTTCTATCCTAAAAACTCGTAAATATTCGGAAATCATTACCCACACTCTTCACCTGGCATTTTTTCAATAGACTCCAGGCAAACTATATATTCTCTAAAAGCGGAAGACAAGGTTGTTTTAAAAACATTTACCTTGCTGACATTGCTGTTCATCTACAGAAATTACGAATTTCTTGAAAAAAAATTCGTAAATGCTTAAAAATTGTCTTTTTCCGGCACAAATGTTCTCGCATGCACATCTTCTATGGTAATTCCAAGAACAGGCAGGGCGATGTAAAAGAGGGAAGAGGAAATGTAAAAAAATACAAGGTGCTGCTCAGAAATATAATTGTGTGCTAATCCAGCAGCATATCGTTTCACATTTCAGAAAAAAGACAAACAGTGATGGTAAGAAATTGGAAATCATGAACTTTGAATAGGAAAAATGATGCCCCCCTCCCTCCCACCGTCGACATTTTATAATTTCTCTACCAAGTAAAACACCCTTCATCCTGGAGGGGCTGCGACCACTGTGACCCCCTTCACCCTGGAGGAGTCATTCTCACCTTATCGCACCTGTGGATGAGAGACTGGTTTGGGGGATGTTTGGAAGATAAAACTGATAATTCATGTATTGTTTGAATTTGAGAGAAGAGAGGCGCCGAGTTCCAAAGAAAAATTCTGATGTCAGCCTCAGCTCATCAAAACATTGCCTTTACAACCACCTACTCAATGCTTCTTCGTACTCCGAATCTAATGGAGTTTCCGCGCTCTGAAAATTCTTGTTTCTGCAAAATGTAGCTTTTTCAGACTATCCGCACCTGATTCCCACTCTCTTCGGTTTTGGAGGTGGCCATCTGATTTGCAGAAAGCTGCGCAGAACGTGCACCTATAGTTGACCGATCAAAAGATGTAGGAGGTGTCAGCAGAGAAAGAGATGTATACAGCTACTATGTTGTCATTTCGTATTACTTCGTAATTTGAAACGATTGAAAGCGTGAGAAAGTAAGCGCAACATACTAGCTGATTCTTCCGTCCCGAGCATAGCCGCTTCTTCCCACTGAGTGTGGTGAGGTAGTGCAATATCGTCGTCGGACTCCGACTGAGGAGGAACAACGACTTCTTCAAGGTGGTAAATACCCTAAAATAATCTGGAATGTGCTGGATCAAAAAAGATTTCAGAGTTGGTTTGTGCTCCTAGATAAACCGGACACTCCATTCAACAGATTTGACAAGGAGTTGTAGTTTTAGGAGAGTCAGGTAAGCATTATGGTGATGCGTAGAAGTGAACGCTCTCTTATCTCTGAACTGGGCTTTACGAATTATGTGCATAATCAATATCGAACGCCCGTAAAAGGGCTCGGACCTGGGAGGAGTTGCAGGTGCGCTCCATCGCCATTTCGATTAGAGCACCGTTTTTTCAAGTGGGGCGCACTATCTCCCAACACTTAGCGTTTCACAAACTTTCCAAAGAGATGGAAGACTGGGAGAGGGACCATCTGCAAAATAATAGAATGTTTTGGTTCATTCCGCTTGCATGTACTTTTCCTCTTCTCAAGCTGTCAGGACATATCATCATACCCTATGGTTCTCATGATTTGGCGTTCATGCATCACTCAACAATACTTTTGCTTTGTGTTCTTCTATATATGACCTTTGTTTTGGTTCTTATTTTACTCTACTCACTAGAGTTATGCAACAACGCTTTTGGTCCAACAACGAAAAAAGGGGAGACGATCAAGAGGCGCGATTTCTCCGGCTGTCACCAACTCAAAACTTCAGTGTAGTGCTATGCGAGTCTTCAAAAAAAAAACCAGATAAAGTGCATTGGATTACTATCTGTCTGAGGTTACCACTTGCTAAGTCTGGTGGCTTTTGCTGGAAAACTAACCAAAATACTTACGAATTTGTTCTTAACTGCATTTTCATGAGTTTTTGACCTTCTCAATTGCTGTTTTGAATTGACTAAGGTAGCAAGATTGAGCAACCCATGCAACTATCTAGCCCAGCCATAGTTAGCATTTACCCTCTATAACCTTTGCCTGAATTTACGCTTGAAACTCATTGTCAGTAACTGTCTTAAACTTCCGTTTTTGGGTTAGTCTCGGCTGCTCTAACTTCTCTTTGAGTTTACACCACTTGAGGATCCACTTTGTGCAGCTTTTAGAAGTATCTTAGGGCTGCTAGCGCTAAATTGGGATGGATTTAGCACTGGTGTTCGTGTGCGAACTCTTTTTACGGCTCGCATGTGGCCGATCAAATTCTGGCAACAGCTGTGTTTCAGTCCTTCCTACTCCTTCAAAAACATCCTTTACGGTGTTGCTTTGTCTTTTTTTTTCTTGAGACGACCTATAACTGTCTTGTAATTACATAACTTATCTCGAAAACATAAAATTCTTTCCTGAGATCTGCTGGAAAACTTGTTAGATCGACGTCTTTGAAGCAATGAGAGCTAAAAAAAAAAGAAATCGAATGTGTCATATTCAAATTTTGCGCTTGATAGCAATTGTCGCCTTTTCTCATGAGCTTCAAAAGCGCTGCATAGTCGTAAATCATCATTGCTAATGTTGTTCGATAAGCTTGTCGATGATGCCTAGATTGAAAATTGAAGAAAAAATGGGTGGAAAATGGCAACTTTATGCTGGTGACCTTTATAGACTGTAACGTTTTGCTAAATGGAAAAACCGGGATTTTTGCAGTTAGTGGATAGTTTTGAATGCACAAAATTAATTTGCCCAGCTGTCAACCTCAGGAATTCTCTAGAAACAAACAAATTTTGAAACTTGGTGCTATACTAAGTTAACTATGAAACTTTACTTATTGGAATTAAAATTAATGAGAATTTTTTTGAGCGAGAGCTGACCAATGTGCTGAACATAGAACTTGGCCTGCTGCCATGTTCTCACTGAGCATCACTTCGGGACAAGTTCGTAGTTTTTCGTAGGACGGGTTCTTACAAGGAAACGATACTTAATGTCCGTGGCTTTTTGAGACGAGATGTACACCATTACACTCGTTTTCGAACGCTGATTCCGAATCTGACTTCCGTTTCTGCTAATCATTTCTCTGAAAGAAGTTATGAAGGATTTTTCGACCCAAGTTTGGCCGCTTAAGGGAAATATGGTCATTGGAACGGCCTCTACCACGACCACGTTCTGGTCTAATGCTTAGTGCGATAGCCTCATAAGTTGATTAGGTTCAAATCTTTTGCGTTTTTACTTTTGCACTACTTTTGCCTCAATTAAGCTTGTTCGAGAAAGCTTTACTCGAATTATGACCATTGCATTTTAGCGCAAACAGTAGTCATTTTTTCCAAAATTCCACATTTTTTCGAGAGTAAGAGCGTTCACTTAACTTGAGGATGTGAAAGAAGGTTAATTGAGGCAACGCAAAACTGAAAAACACAAAAGGGCTCGAACCTAGACCCGCATCAACTCATGAGACTGTCGCCCTAACCACTAGACCACAGCGCACCTATGGCATTGGTGCTCCGACAGATTTTCACTGAGGACCCAAACTCCGCGCGATCCATGATAACATCTTCGAAGCGATTAGCAGAAACGGAAGTAGGATTTGGAATCACCGTTCCAAGACGAGTGTAATGGTATACATCCCATTTCAAAAGGCCACGGACACCGAGTATCGTTCCCTTGTTAGGCACATGCCGTAGGCTGCGTTCATACTAATCCGGAAATCTGGAAACCTTGAAACTTGGAGCAGATCTTACTTATCATTGAGATCCATTGAGAACATAGATATTGTATATATTCGTGGAAATACATGTGACAAGAATCCAAACGCATGTAGGGCCGGTCGAATATGCACAAGAAATCCAGCATGCTTATTTATGTATTTCGAGCAAAACATTCTCAAGGATTTCAAATTTCTGGCGGGCTTGTGGGTTTGTGCTTCAAAGTTAAGCAGCAAAATGGTTTGATGTTTCACAGAATTTTTTCTACGCATGAAATGAACGGAAGCGGGTCTTATCGTAACAAAGAATTGGCAGTTTTGATCCTCTGACATGATTTGTCCACATTTTACCGTCAAATTCCCACAAAGATGTCAAAGACTATACGTATACTCAAAAACTACCCAGATCGGCGTGGAAGTGTTTGGAGATAGTGCGCTCCAGTTGAAAAAACGGTGCTCTAATCGAAATAGCTATGGAGCGCACCTGCAACTCCTCCCAGGTCCGAGCCCTTTTACGGGCGTTCATCAATATCAGATCTTATTTTATTACGGTGCTCATTCGCCCTTAAAGGCATCTCCATCCGGTTTAGGGTGAGGATTTAATGTTGAATAACAGCGGGGCCCCTAAGTAAGCAACCGCCCAAGTCTTCCTGTATAAGGTGAATTCCAGAGCGAGGAAAGCGCTCCAAGTAGAAGCAGCATGCTGGTTTCGCCCATTAACGTAAGTACTGGAGACACAAGTTCGAAATTGTGCTTCGAGACAGAAAGTAGCAAATTGATAATAACGAAGGACGGATCTATGGCAGTTCCACACACCCTGAAGCTCAATTTTGGACTTGTTATCTCCAGACCACCCAGGTTGATAGGCGGAGCATTCGTGGCCTCTTCTACCTTCTGGAGCGGTATGCCCACTATGTAATTCATTTTTCGCAATGAAACTTGGGCAATTATTTAGTTAGGGGGTGGTATATAGCATTAAATTCTCATCACCCTCAGTTTGGATAGACGGGCTTTTGAAATTTAGTTGTAAGTAAGGGAGGCCTCCTAGACCGTCCCAATCATATCGCTTGCGACCATTGCTCACGCAGTAAGCCACTAAACTTTGAACCATTCAAGCATACAAGCTCACTCAATACTTCAAGATTGCTCCCATATTTCGAAAGCTTCAACAACTCAAAACTTGCATGTTAGTAAAAAAGAGTTTGAGAGGAAGAAGTAAACTGAGAGAATCTTGATGGCGGATTGCGAGAGCAACAGCCGATTCGAGTGGCGAAGTCCTAGGGTGATATTTTCGGAACTTGGCTACTAGCTCGTAAAACTTTAATCAAATTTTGCTAGAAAAAATTGGTGAGTTATAGGATATTGCACACAGCTGTTATAAATTCATTGAAAACCTTCTTTCTGGAAATGCACGGAAAGCTGCAAATTTGTTATGATGTAAACTGCATGGTTCTCTTATACAACATCCACACGTATCAAAAGTCCCAGTCTTACCTGATCTTCTTCTAAGCCACGAATCTGGCTGCGTTCATCTTGGGAGGAATCGTCGCTGATATTATCGACAGGAGTCGCGCCAACGGCGGGCACGTTCATCATAGAAACATGGCAACGAGAGGTGACTTCCGTTTCATTGTTGCTAGGACAACGTCGAACGCTGTCGAGCAAATATGAAAGCTATGATGCCTTAAAAAAACACAAAGACTTAATTTGCAAATGTTCGTCAGACAAATGAGGTGCACGAATTTGCTTCTTGCTTATTCAGCTGACAAGAGTTGATGGGAAGGCTGATTGTGGAAGATTTTCAGGTTTCTCTGTTCATTTCATTTCATTTCATTTCATTTCATTTGTACGCTCAAGGCGTTCCATAAAAAAAGACACATCAAGAAGTTAGTAATACAGCGGAAACGAACAAGACATGTAAACAAATGCAGACATCATCATGTCAGTCCGAGTCTGATCCTAATCAGACTAATGTGAGAAGATGAAACACCTTGCACTGAATATGTTGGTAGGCTAATAGATAAGTATGCAGATGTAGGCATGAGATTTATAACCTTAAAACTTTGAATCCATGGAGATGGGACGCATGCCCCCTCGTTGCCAGCGGAACGATCTTTAGTCACTCTACAATTGTTCCACTACAGTTTTTACTCTTTATCTGAAGGCACTCCAGTTTCTCTAACAGGGGAAGTGTCAGAACTCGCAGTGGCCTTTTGACATGAAATAAGTATCATCTGAAGCAGCTTGTGCTGATTCCAAAACAGCCTTTCTTAGCTGCAGAACTAATCTAGGACGAGAGTTATTGAATTTAATTTGCGGGAAATTTACAACGCTGAGGATAGCCAAAAATTAAAGCGAACATTTTTTTGGGCTCAAACATAGATGAAACAGTCCATCAATGTTTAACGTAATCCTACGCCTTCATCAAAGTCATGCTGTGGTGCTTAAACAAGCATTTGAAAGGTTCCCGTGATCACAGAGTACTTCAAACAATGTAAAATTTAATGTTCAAAATGCCCATAACTCGCGACCCAGATCAGTTCTGCAGCTAAGAAAGTTTGTTTTGGAATCAGCATTTCAAGCTGCTTAGATGGTACCCATCCCATGTCAAAAGGCCACTGCGACTTCTGACACTTCCCTTGTAAGAAAATGCAATACATTGTACGTGTTTGTTTTCCAGTTTCATGGGCCATTTTATTAGGGAGAACACATAGCAAAATTGAACAACACTTAGAACGCAGCAATATGGAAACCAGAAATTGACTAGGATTCGAAAGTGGTTTCGGGAGCGGCTTTAGCATGACACTACCCACACCCATCCTGCATGACCTGACATGTTTCAATGAATCGCGTACATGTTGATTACTCTTCGCTCTATTTCTGTCTGTCTTATCTATGCGAAACACCGTGTTCAGCCAAAAGCCAGGCTCTTGCGCTCTCAGGGCATTTCTCATTTTTAGGTCACTGGTTGCGGTCGTGAAAAAAGCCGTGGTAGCCTTGCGGTTGTGCAAGGACCGCACTCCTGATTTTGTCCAATCGAGAAATATTTGATTGGTTTCACCAGTATGTAATCGGTAGCTTTTGGTAGATTTCACACTTTTATCAAGCGACCAGTGGCCGTGTTCATCCACGAACCGTAAGGGTAAATCCTACCTTCAAGGGTAGGTTTCAAAGGCACCGTCCCAGATTCTCGGCTTCCATGTTTTTGTCGTTCCGAGGCCTTCTAATGTCCCTGATTCCGAGTATCAAGTCGAGAATCCGCGAAATGGGCGGAACGAACGTCACGCCCACTCAAAGGGAGGAGTCAACGTGACGAATCCGTTATCCAAAGCATTTTTGAAGCATTTTCTCGCTTGGAAAGCAACTTCTGACAGCGCGAGTTGGACAAGTATACAGCTAGGTTCCACACTACTGTTGGGCATCAAAATCTCATCGACCACATTTCAAGTGGAAGGTGCCTTCAACCTCAGGGTTCATTGGCAGTATTAATCAACGAACCATTGTGGGTAAGGTTTACCCCGGAAAGCGATTAATCCCTAATCATCAACGAACCTTGAAGGTAAATCCTATCCTTGAGAGTAAACCCTACCTCAGTAAACATTAACTCGCATTCGCGAACCTGGCCCATTAAAATAAGTTTAACCCAAGCATAGAGCAAGACCAGATTCACTCTGACACTTTCTACAAACATCGAATGAGCTCTTGATGCACCACTCACTCCGTGATACGGTTTTGACAACAAACACATATTTATACATACTACGACCGACCTCAAACTTCTTATGGCATCTTTTCGTGTTTTCGTTCAATGTCATCATCCGGTATTATATTCGGCCAAGTTGTTTAAAAGATTTAGTTCTATGTAGTCATGGTTCAACTAAAGGCTTTGATATGGCGAACATAAGTTCAACAACTCAGAAAAATTTCGTAATATGGATCTCCCTCATTCAAATTTCATTCCACCAGTATACTAGTTCAGTAAATGATTTGATACATGATCCAACTACGTAGCTTTATTAGGCACACTTAAAGCTGGCAACAAAATACTAAAAAGTTTTGTAATATGACAAGACGAGACGAAAAGAGGTCTTAGGAAATTTGAGACAATACAGGATGCCTCAAAAAATGTGAACGCTGTTTGATCGTTCATAATTCCCTTGTTCATGTCTTTTGCCGAGCTTGATGTACCATCGCAAGGTTCAACTTAGACTAGCAGTATGGAGCAAATCATCGATCGCTTTTCATTACTGTAGAATTACGGTAGGACCTTCGACAAGGATTTTGGGCCGTTGGAGGTCATACACTGCCTCGGAACAAAAACAAACAACTCAAAAACTCTTATATTATGGTAAGGGAAGCCGCTGATTTCAAAATTAAATATTAAATTCCCACTTTACTGTGACGCTTCTTTCCAACGTTATCCCAGCTAGACCGTTATAAGCCAATTCGCAGTTCCAATTTGTCAAAAATGTGTTTACGCGTCAAAAAAGCTGAAAACACTTGTAAAAAATTGTGTAGTGGAATTAGCACGCGCGAAAACCCCAGTACACGATTTTTCAGATTTTTTTGATAAAAAAAATTTTGTCAGATGGCATATATCACAATGCTTCCGCATGCTGGAAGGGACAGTTCAGATATTATCACAACTATTGACGAAGTTCTTTTTGCTTAAAATCCACGAAAAGCAAATGGTCATGTTAGTGATAATTCTGAAAGTTCTTTTCACTCTGCGTACGAATGCAAGATCAAGTTATATCTTCATTCAACAGAGAACTTCAATTAGCAACAATAACATTTCCCTCTGAGTCGACCGGCACAACTTTTGGTGTGCCAGGTTCGAACTTCGGTGTCACACCACGTTTTGGCGCTTTCCATGGTCCTGTCCTTGGGACCATTTGTATACATTCCGGTATCGGGCATACGCTGCAATCATCTTATATAGGTACTGCCTGTGCGCTCCGGGAGATCGCAAAACTTGCCTGTAGCAAAGTGTGCATCCGGTGCAGTCGTCTTCATTGACCTTTGGCTGATGAGTGGTTCCGTTGAACGAAATTGCTTGATAACCCGAGTCATTACAAGTCATATAGCATTTGCCGCAATTGATGCACAAGTCCTGAGACGAATGCACTTGTTATCACTGTTGGAGCAGTATAAAAGCGCCGTCAAATACTCACGTCGTCGATGAGCGCAACCTTCTGTTGTTTATTGTCTAGCGTGACATAAGGGCCGATCCGTGGCAGTGCATGGCCGATAACGTCCTGAAACATGCTTATAGCATACTTGAACCTACTTTCTACTGCGCTTCTGCATATGGAACATTTTCGTCTTCCGAGTTATGACAGCGTTAGCTTGTTCGAGTCAACACACACAGAGAGAAAATTGCCATTTTGCATTGCACGCGGCACTTCTCTCCCCTCCCCCTTCTATCAGGTTGTCCCATAAGTTTCGTCCGTTTTAAATCTCGATCGCAATAAGTCATGAGCTTCTTGAATTTAGATAGGTTTCGAGGTACCATTTGATAGAGCAAAGCAAGCTGTACAAGTTGACGTTCTTGCTTTTGCACCACTTCAAAAGGAAAAATCGTGGCTATGTCCAAAAAAGCCCTAGAAAATTCCTAACCTGCTCACCTACACACTATCCATGTCAGACATTTATATATAATGCTATTGCTGTATTTTTTCTATGGATAGAAACCATGAAAACGAAAGTTTTTATGTTTTTCTCAAAGATGCTGTGCTGTCCCCACACTGTATACTACGAACCAGTACGAGTATAGATTTGAATTCTAGCACTTTACAGGCTTTAGTTCTCGAGAAACATCGAATTTAGCTTCGCATAGTCGGGTGTCCCATACTAGAACCAATATTTCTCAAGAACTAAAGCTCGTACAGCGCTGAAAATTCATGTCTGTACATGTAGTAGTATATATATATATATATATATATATATATATATATATAACTATCATTGTGAGAACAGCACAGCATCACTTTGGCGAAACAAGAAAATTTTCGTTTTCTTGATTTCTATTCAAGGAAAGATACAGCAGCAGTATATATTTATTTTATTTATTTTATTTAAATGCACTTAGAAGTGCGCCGAAAAAGAGCAGAAAACACAGCAGATAACCAATCGACCACACACCCAGTACAGTAGCAGGGGAAAAGCCAGACGCGTATGTATGTATGTATGTATGTATGAAGCAATATATAAATGTCTGAAGTGGAATATTGTGTCTGTGAGCGGTTGAAATTCTTCTAAGATTTTTTTGAACGGAGTTACGATTTTTTCCTTAATTTTTCGGGTGGTTGGATCTTTTCGGTTTTTTTGGCTTCAAACTGGAAGTGAATTTGAACTGGAGTGAAAACAAGAAAGCCATCTTGTAGAGATTGCTTTGTTCTATCAAATAGGGCCTCGAATTCTATCTAAAATCAAGAAGTTCATGACTTACGATTGAAAATTAAGACGGACGGAACTTATGGGACAACCTGATATTAGGTTGTCCCGAAAGTTTTGTCCGTTTTTTTTAAACCACTATAAAACCACGCACAATAAAGACCTGAATAAGTTTCAATGCATTTGATACAGCTTTTCCTTGTCTTTCTTGTGGACACATTTTCGAACCAAAATCTTTTATGCTTTTTTGATAACTGCCAAAATTCTCCACCCGTCAATTTCATGTGCTCAAAGTATAGCTAAATTTTGAAAATTTTATTTCAAAGTTTCGGAAAGGATTAAGTATACATCAATACAGCAGTTCTCGGACTACAAGGCAGTATTTTTGGGTTCTCCTAATCTGCTGTTTTTAGCTTCAAAAATTAATTCCTTGAAGGTCTCGATTTTTGGCAAAGTCATGAAACACGCAACTGCGGCAAATACATGAAAGCTTTTAAAATTTCTGCGAACTAAAATATGATTCTTATTACACATTATTTATGCAACATAACCAAGTTTGTTGCTTTGAAAAAGCTGCTTTTGAATTACCGATACTTTTGAGTGAGTAAACGTAATTGAAAAGCCGCGGTTTTTATTAAATAAATAATTATAACCGACTTGAAAAACGTCGTCCATGTAATCTAAAATGTGTACAATGTAGCCAAAGATTTGCCCTACATAACAGTTACTAGCGCTCTTTGAAACATTAGGATAAAAATTTTTAAAATTCAGGATAGGTTTGGTGTTACTGCTGAGCTGCTCAAAAAGCCATGGCGATAACATTGCAAAGACAAGGTAGATCAGAAAACAAGTATAGCTGTAAGAAAGAGCATAAAAATCTGGACCACATGGTACTTAAACTTCCCATGGATTGTGTTCCGTGAATTTTAGTGAGCGATGAAAAAACGGACAAAACTTTCGGGACAACCTAATATTTGCGTGTACCGCGGTCGTGAACGGAAATGCTTCCGTAGATTTATGGTCGTGCGCCATCCCACTTCACATATGGTGAAATATCGAAGTTATCAAAAAAAAACAAACTATGTTTAGTGGTTCGCTTCGTAACGTGTACATTCCCTCCCTTACTTTTGGCAGCTACGCGTGAGTCATTTGTACGAGTTACCCCGAATGAAGGGGAAACGTGGTCACACATGGACACGAGGGTCGTTGTCTTCATGATAATAATCTATATAAATGCCGTGGCCAGGAGTTTTACAGAGACCTCCTCACTTTTTAGTGCCTTCACCTATGTATAATATCGATTGCGCAACCAGATGGATACCAAACACTCGAGTTTTAGTGTTTGATGACGTTACAGAGGCTATCAGATCGCCTTGGAGGAGGTATATAGGATCGTTGCATGGGCTGTTCAACCTTATTATTGTGAAATAGATTCAAACATAAATGTTGCAGATCGAAAATCCATGAAAATGCAACTTATAGCAATTTCGTGAGTATTTCGATCATTTTCACTAAAAGCCGTCAAGCGCAAACAAATGATAACTTCACATAGCTAGTAAACTAGGAAATTTATTCTGGTATTTCTGAAAGACTTGCACAGCACTAAGTTGGGGTTTTGAGATGGTGATCTTTGGAGAAAGCGCGCCTCTCGACCGTTTCCCAACCGGGGTTACTCTACGTTACCAAGGTATTCTCTCGGATCGAATCATTACACACGTCCCATTCAGACGATGCCTTGGCAGGAAGGACTGATTGCCGAAAAACAGGAAAAACATACATGAACTGTAGGAATCTTCCCAACGGGCATGTCTGGACGAGATGCGAAGTCGCCAGTCATCGACACAGGAGTACCCTTGGTAAATGTGCCTTTCTCAAGTTTTTCACGCTCTGTACGGTAATTCCCAAAGAATGGTATTCCCTGAAAACAAATAAATAGTGCTGATAGCTTATCTAATACATCGCCTTACTGAATCCTTGAGCAGAACAGGTTTGCCTTTCTGATGTTTTTCAACAGGCGGGCTTTGTCCATCCCAGCTTTGCAAAGGTTGAGCTGCTTTCAGATAGAGAAGTGCTCGTAAGCCAGTGCAGTAATCTTCCACAACGGTGTAGTCTTGGTTTTGTACAGCAGAGCAAACCTATGAATAGAAAGTGTGAATAAGGAAGTTGCTTCCTACACGGTTTGAATTAGAAGTACACATCAACAAAATTCGTGCGTAAAAGATGGCAATGTGCGCTCTACGGCATTTTTTATGCGCAAACCGCAAGCAAGCTGTTGAAATCCCTAAGAACTGCACTGCATTTGTTTTCGCGCAAATGTTGTCATCATCGCAGGTGCCTATCTGCTTGATCTCAATGTGTCCATGCACTCACTTGCAAAACTGAGGCTCCAGCGTTGAGGAATGCGAGACCAGTTTCAGCACTCTCTATGCCACCAGTGGCCATAATCGGGAAGCCTTTCAAGTCTCTTGCTATGGCTGAAACTGCTTTGAGGGCAATAGGACGAATCGCCGAGCCAGACATTCCACCATAAGTTGTCCTTAAACTCAAAGTGGCAGGATTTTGAGAATTCCAAGTAATCTGGATTTGTGCGCTGTTATTCACCTCTTTTCTTCACCAACGGCAGGCCAGGAGGTACCATCGGCCTTCATGTGCATCAGGCCAGATACGGTATTTGTGGCAGTGACACCGCTCGCTCCACCTTCTTTAGCTGCTGCAGCGATAGTACGGATATCGGTGATGTTAGGAGTCATTTTAGGGAAGAAAGGAATCTGAAGCGAGGTTACGATATCTTAGATAACTTCAAAAACTGCCCCTGCCACTAAAATGCCATTGCGATTAACTGAATCTCACCTTTACAGCTTGTTTGATCCACGAGCATATTGTCCGGACAATGTCCGGATCTTGACCGCATGCGAGACCCATTCCTTAACAGGAAACAGCGATCATTTTGCAAACCAACTCAGTAAAAAAATGCGGTTTTTCTGCTTCACTGTACATTTATTCTGATGTTAAAGATGTGCCCCCCATTTACAACTATTTTCCACGTAGCAAGCAAAGGTGATGAAAGTTGACCAAACCTTTTTCTCCCATTCCATGAGGGCACGACAAATTCAGTTCGAGAATATCAGCGCCTGCTTCCTCGCTCTGTTTAGCAAGAGTTTCCCAATCTTCCTAGATAGGGAAAAATGTGACCTGTTATTTTTTTAAATTCCGCAGTTACACACCTTATTGAAGGTGCACATAATGGATGCGATGACGATTTTCGTTGGGAAATCGTGCTTGAGTTCTCTGATGCACTGCAGCCAATATGCAGCTGATTTTTCGGAAATAAGCTCGATATTCAGGAAAGATCCCTAGAAAGTACCTGTTGTATTTCATGAGTACAGCACGAATGATTTTTACCTGATTCGGGCCATAGATTGGTCCTGAAGTCGATCCCCGGACAATTCGAGGGGATACGTTTGTGACTAAATCCTAAATAATGGGATTTTTTGAAAGACGTTGAGAAACCCACAAACTCTGTACCTTATCAAGACCAAATGTTTTTGTCAGCACGAATCCCCAGCCTTGCTCGAACGCTCTTCGACACATCGCTCCCGATGTCGTTGGCGGAGCTGAAGCCAATCCAAATGGATTTTCGAACTTTACGCCACACATTTCTACTGATATGTCGACCTAAAACGATTAAATCAGGCTATGAGGTGGGAATGTAAGTTTAGGGGATTACCTCATCGATGGGTGTGTAGAACATTGGCAACTTCGGCTTGTCTCCGACATCATTACCATGCAATGATTGCAAGTATTTATGGATTGACCACGCTGCCACCTGGAGAATTTTCTTTTGTAAGAAAGTATTAAATCTGTCAAAGAGTTGCTAAGAAGATCATAAAAACAAGTAATCGCGTTCTTTTCAAGATCTGAATCAAATCATTTACATGCAGCTTCTCTTCTTCAGAAAAGAATCTTCTAAAATTTTCAAATCAAGATTTTACTGCAAACATCCAAGCAAGTTGGGCCAGACTGGAAAGCGGAGGTATACAGAGTGATCCATTTTATGCCATTCTCGAATTTTCGATCGTTCTTTCCACTGATATTACTCGTTTCATGATTTTTAGTCATATTGGGCCAGATTTCGAATTATAAGAGTATTGTATGAAAATCATTTTAGTTTTGGATAAATTGGGAGTTGAGTATTTTCAAAGAGTTTTTTGATTCAAGCTTGCGGACACATGGATCCCATTCTAAATCATTTCAGACTAAGCAGATCCGTCAAGGAAATAATCGCATGAATAGCTAAAATTTTTCAAGAGAGCAAGTGCTTGTAGCTGAGCTTAAAGGAAATTTATGTAGCTAATCTGTGATTTTATGCTAAACGTGTTTGTCTATCGCACACTAGTTATTTATGATTTGCATTGCTTCATTGCTTGCTGCTCATTACGAGCATTTCGTCGTGTCACATCGATGTGAACCATCATATTTAGGGTCGTAATCAGCCTAAAGCGTTTCCGATCAATCTGTTGATTACCTTGCCATCATTAACAGATTCAACAGTGGTCTCGGCCACTCCTGCGCAATCACCTCCAGCGAATACCCATGGTACACTTGTCGTCTGATCAGTTCTGTTCACTTCAGGAATACCTCGCTTAGTCATCTTCACCGGTGCCATCGCCTCGATCACTTAAAATGAATATTTTAGGTTCAAGAGCTGAAATGCTATGATGGAAGATTATCATACCATCTTTATCCAAGAGGGTAGATCCGAAGGCAGAAATTACGTAGTCAGCCTTGATCGTGAGCGTTTGTTCCTCGTCCTCATACCTACGTTGTTCAGTTAGTAGAATACATCAACAGAAGTGCGATCGGCTCGCAACACACCAATTTCCAGCATCATCCTTCTCTGTCTTAACGAATTTCATTGACACGATTTTGCCATCTTTGATGTTGACAGCTCTCGGAGAGCAGTAAGGCAAGAACTCGCATTTTTCTTCACGGGCTGCATCCATCTAAATAAAACAAATATCAATGCGCATTTCATTTTACATCTATAAGGTCCGAAGGACTTTGAAAGTCGATTTCTTGGGTTTGGCATAATTACAGGCCTCTCGAAGTAGAGACTGAATGGTTTACCTCTTCTGGCACGGCGCGAATTCCGGTGAACCCCTTACGGAACACAACAGTCACTCTTGAAGCTCCAGCCCTAAGTGCAGAAGTAGCGCAGTCGAAAGCAGTGTCACCTGCAAAAGAGCCTTTGAAGTTCTGCTTAAGCAGGAATTTACCTCCACTGATGCATGGGTTTGGGAAGTTTTTCAGCTAACAGCTGCTCACTCACCAGCACCAAGTACAATCACTCTTCCCTTCATAGAAGGTAGCTGCTTCGCAGAACATGCGCACATTCCTGAAAATGGTTTCATTGATATCAATTTCACGTAAAATATAATAATCCGAGAGATGCATACCGGGTTTGCTCGCGGCTGCTATGATGGGAAGGAAGTCCTTGCTTGTGTAGAATCCGTGACTTTGATTGAGGCCTTCGAAGACGCTGATTTTCTTGGGCTCGGGCATTCCAATTCCAATAAAAACAGCTTTGGCACCGTCTGCCTAAAATTTACAAAGTAAAGCAATAGTGTGCTTGGAATTACCGCATTCTCGAATGCGCCAATTTTCAACTTGTTCTTGGAAAGGAGCAAATTTAGCAGATGCACAATTACAACCCTGAGATCACATAGAAACTTATACCTTGAGCTTCTCTACTGTGAGGTCATTCTTATGTAGTGCTCGTCCAGTCACGATTTTCACGCCAATGTCTTTTGCTAGCTGTATTTCGAAGTCCACAACATCATATGGAAGACGGAACTGTGGAATTTCGGATGAACTGAAATAAAGTGCCTGGCATGACTATAACAGAAAGATAAGCTTTTCTAGGTTTTTTTTTTGTTTTTACTGCGTGCCACCGAACACTAAACAGGCAAAACTTGAATACATATGAACTAAAATAAGTAAAGCAGATTCAGTTGCTGTGTGTAAGAGCATTACACAACATCCCAATGTTGACTATGATGCGCCGACCTTCCAGGTAAAAAGTACATGATACTAACAAGGAGAGGATACTTAGTCGAAAGCGCCAATCCAGATGAGACATATATCATCTTAAAGCGCTTGAAACGCTGATTCCAAATTTGCAGTTTCTAGCTGCGGAGCGGTTTTGTAGAAGGAGTTATGAGGGGTGTTTCCTCTAGGGTTGGGGCGCCCTCCACCAGGTTTCCCCCTAACTATGAGCACTGTAGAGGAATACCAACTGGTGGCAACCGACCTAGTAGTAAGCGACGTGCTTGTTAAAGAGAGTGTCAAGGTTTTAATCCCCTTCGCATGCTAAATTGAACTTCTAAATGGCTTTAGAGCCCTAAAGCATGAAACTTCTGATGATATTGATACTAATCGAAGTTAGAAGTGTTTAAAAAACTCAAGTAATATGAGTATTGTAATCTACTGTGATCTTCATTCAAGTTACGTACCATTAGGTCAGTTGCCATCAGCTGATACTCCTCTACAGTGCTTACGGATAAGGAGAGACCACTGGAGGGCGCCTAAACCCCAGACGGGAACACCCTTCATAACTCCTTCTACAAAACCGCTCCGCAGCTAGAAACTGCAGATTTGGAATCAGCGTTTCAGCGCTTTAAGATGATATGCGTCTCATCTGGATTGGCGCTTTCGACTAAGTATCCTCTCCTTGTAAGTGCTTCCTCAGCACGATCTTACTCAAGCCACGAAAAAAGAGAAAAGGGTAAGAGAAAATTTGACGAGGTCCCGTGATTAGTTCCTTTGGGAAGGTGCAATTATTCTCATCAGCAAGAAAAGCTCTACTGTACATGATAGAATTTATTACCTTAATCCTCCAACATAGTCTTTCTTCTCATAGATAGTAATGTCAGTGTAGCCTAGCCGAGCCAAGAACGATGCGCAAGAGATCGAAGCAGGACCGCATCCTGAATAGACATTCCATTATCACAACTCGTATGAGGAAAAGATGTAAAACAAACCTATCAGAGCAATAGGAGACTCGTGGGATTTGTTCCTATTTTCGCGAATTTCTTTAGAGACAATTTGTCGAATGTTCATTTTTTTGAAGACCTAAAAAGCAAGAGACTGCTGGTTTAGCAGATCATCGAAAAAGTTATTCTATATTTGAAAGGATTCCCAGTGAATCTTACGTCACATGCAAACTGTTGGAGTCCTCCGATATTTATGGCTCCTTCCTCAGTAGCTTGAAGGTTGCACGAACCGACGCATAGATCCGACGTTGGACAAATCATTCCACAAGTCAAACCGAGCGGATTATCACTCAAGATCTGTCGAGCTGCTCCATAGTAGTTCTAGAGGACCTTCAAGTTATGAGCGCACAAAGAAGTGTGGAAAATTCGTTAACACGATTACAGAGGATCTGATGGTGATTTTGCAAAACATCATTCCCTAGAATTACCTGAGATAGTACTTTATAGATTCTATCTGCCTTTTTCCAACTTATTTGATGCGATTTCATACTTATATCTACAACTCATGATTTTATGCTTGTTTATCTTCGAACCTTATAGTAGTGCTTTTCTTGGATCATAAACTCTAAAAAAATCCCTGCAGCATTGGTTTATTGGCAAGGAATGCAAAAGACATTCTTGGAAGAGTTTAAGCAAATTCTATAACATTGTTGCAGAATGAATACACTTTAACCCTTTTATTTCCAGAGCAACTTTTTGCGTTGATTTTCTTTCAGTACAGTTTTTGCACGATTTTGAAACTCTTTTGCCAAGATGTTTGAAAATGGTTTTATTTGAACTATGAAATTTACGACCATAATGGCGACAAAACTTGATCCCCCGTTGAGTCAAATTTTATTATCAAGAAAAAGTGATGATAGTTTGGCACCTGAAATTGGGAGGACTTTTCTTATCAGTCTCTGCAAACAAAGGTCAGCTGTTTAGTATGGAAACTACTAAAAAGTATCATTAATTGTGTGTAAAGTTCGACACAAAATCATTGACAATTTATATCTTTATAAGAAGAATTTATTCTTTGAAGGGCTATATCTCAAGTGCATCGCAAAAAGCTCACACCTTCTACAATGCACTTGTATTGCTTCCTGCTGCACAGCACGTCAATATCCAGCGATATATTAGGTCGTTCCGAAAGTTCTTTCCGTTTTTTCAACATATCATAGTAACACGTGGAACGAAGAAAGGGAAACGCTTCAGGCACTGTCCGACGCAGCTATTCTTCCTCTTTTCAACTATCATATTCCTGTGCCGCTCGCTCTTGTGGTCAGTGAGATAATGGCCGAAATTTCGGACCCATGGTTTTTACCATGTCCAACTTCGGCAAATTTTCACTATCTTCTTTTTTGACTTTTGGAAAAGCTTTAATAGCAGTCGGATAGATTAAACAAAGTGCAATCTCGTGCAATTTTTCGGCATCTATAGCTAGCCTCAAAACATTTTTAGAATTATTTTTCTGATGCTATCAATTTCCACTTTTGGGGATGCCAGAAGCCATAGAACATAAAACGGCGCACAACTAAGGTGTCATTCGATGCAGCTTTTTCTCCTCTTTCTGATGAGTGCTTTTTCTTCTTAATTTGTGGGGTCTTTGGCGAAAGATTTCCATAAATCTTGATTTTGAACCCGCCTCATGATGTGCCCGTGAAATGCGAAACCTTATATTTCGAAGCGGTAAACGCTCAGTTACTTTGTAAAAATAGTGTGCAATCATGAACGACTTTTGAAAGTTTCGAAAAGCGAAGATTTGTTGATGTTCAGAGCGTTTGTGTGTTTTGTGACTCTGAAAAAGTGAAGACTTCTGAAAAAGTTATCTCAAAAAATAATGAGAAGCCAGCTGAAATTGCAAAAAATTGCATTGCATTGCACTTTGTTTACTCTATCCGATTGCTATCAAAGCTTTTCCAAAACTCAAAAAAAAGATAATGAAAAATTGCCAAAGTTGGACAAGGTAAAAACCATAGGTCCGAAATTTCGGCCATTATCTCACTGACCACAAGAGCGAGCGGCACAGAAATATGATAGTTGAAAAGAGGAAGAATAGCTGCGTCGGACAGTGCCTAAAGCGTTTCCCTTTCTTCGTTCCACGTGTTTCTATGATATGTTGAAAAAACGGAAAGAACTTTCGGAACGACCTAATATTAATAAAATCGAGAGCATGATTTCTCAAAAATGATGCCTGACCAATTAATTCGTATTATTCTCCAGTCCGTGATCTGCGTTTTGCGAAAAATAATATGCTGCTCTAATACAAAAAGAAGTTTGTGAAATTATTTCACGAAGTTTGTGAAATTATTTGTTCATTACAAATGAGATGAACTAATTCCATAATTTTACCAACTGGTCTTGTTCTGCTCTTCCACCACCTCCCTCCCTTCATCCTTCATCAGTACAATACGTGCGCATATAAAAAACACCTTTTCTGATGTAATTGTGCAGGCTGCTACGATTTTAGATTAACAGTTGAAAACAAGTATACAAACCTTATTTGAAATGCTGGTTATGAAGGCCTTTACGTCCAATTGTGTGGGACAGCTTTTCTGGCAAGGAGCATCGGCGCATTTTAGACACCTGAGCAAATTTCAAACTCATTAGTGTTCGAACCTGTTTCACTCTCATACGCAGGACTCAGCACGAGGTGGCTTTCCGAAAATGTGAAAACAAAGTCCCCCCTGACTTTCGCAAAATCTTACAAGTCCCTTTTGACTCTAATTAAACGTAAAAAACTCTCAAAACACGATTGAAAGAACATCGCAATTTGTATCACTTTTTGGCCACAAAAACGATATCCCCTTTGCTTTGTCCCAAAAACGAAACTCGCTTGCTTACAAGCCACCTGTGCCGAGCCTTGCTCATAAGTCACATCTCATTGATTTCTAATCAATCAACTGAAGCTGCGCAAAGATTTTAGTTCCTGGTAAAGAGACGTTTTCTCATGAAGTGATGATCAAGCCTCTTCTTCTCCTATTGAAAACTTTCGAGTATTCTCACTCATGGAACTTGACTTCCGCTCTATTTTCGTTGAAAACACCTTCAACAAGCTTCAGTATATTCTATAGGAGGGTAGACTATTATGAGCATGAAATTGCAGGTTCTCTGATATACATAATCTCAATTCAATCTACTAATTATTGGTTTTGCAGACCTGTATTCAAGAAAAACTGCAATGGTCATATATTATAATTTAGATTATCATTCACGTTAGAAAATGATTTGGATGTCATGATCATAAGGGTTTAGAGGATATCTGTTTTCGCAACAATCTAGGGTATCGTCTTTAGAGCTTTGAAGAGATCATTCTTCAGAAAAGTCATTTTTTTGGTGGAGCTCAGCGGAATTCAAGTCTGATATATGACATTCATACATCACTTTCCCAATAAAAAATATGAAGGCATCGAATGCCCCCAAAAAATCTTCTTTTGCTGTTCCAGTGTGCTTATCTGTTTGTAATTTCACTTGACAACGTTGAGACTTCAACACCTTATCTTTGCGCCTTTGCGCGCAATTTTTGTGATTGTCAAACATTTAAGATAAGAGCGGAGCGTGACGGTTAGGGAAAAGGAAATTGATGCTATACCCATAGAGCAAAAATTGATTAATATGCTGTATAAGGTTGCAGAATATTTCATACCGTAATTGTAAATACATATATAGTTTCTAACACTCATCACTACAGTTCCCATGAAAAGGAGATAAAGTTTGAGGAAAACTTTTCCTGTGAGCGGTAGTCAGTGCTTTAGACTTCCAGACTTACCGTAAAGCTTCGCGAAGTGCACCTCGCTCACTTAGCGTTGTGTGTTTGATATCCCTGAAGTCGTTGACGAGATCTGGGCCACAAGTCTAAAGAACACTCGTTATAACTTGAAGCTGTTAAAAGTTATAACTTCGACATGAAAACAAATTTGTGCTTGAGAGTAAAAACATGAGTGTGTAATAAATGATCGATAGCATCTTCTAAATGTTTCAAAATGGTTTGCTAACATAGGCAGGACGAACGAATTGCATAAGACATCTGAAGCAGTTTTTGCTATAGAACTTGATGTTAATCAAATTGAAAATGGATGCCAGCAAAGCGTAGTAGCTCGTTAAGTGTAGTCCATTTATAGGGTACTTTGCCTTTTTTTTTCCAGTGTTAAAAACAAACTTAATGTTGAACCAGAGCAAGCTAGATTTGGCTTGAGTCCCAAACCACGTGCGTCAGAGCGTGTTCACAAGTTTCTCCTCAGACATTCGTGATCCCCGCAGGAGTCAACTATCACAAAATGAGAATGCGGAAAAAAGGAGAGCACGAGCATTTTGTCCCGGTCTCAAGCCGGGACGATCAAATCGCATGATATATGCCCGGCCCTCAGTTCGTGTGACAAAATTGGGTTTTCGCGCAAGACTACCTTTCTAGTTCCGTAGCTTAACTCCCGCAAGACTCTTGCGGGGCTCAACGACGAACGCCTAAATCACTCTGCAATGCGGTAAATGAAGGTCTTGGCACGTTTGCGACGGATCGTTCGATAGTTTTTTGTAGTTTTTTGAGAGAAAAAGCAAAGTACCTCAGATACGCGCTCACATGCCTCTTCCATCTTTCACTGTGTACTAACATGCTCAACTACAATCCGCACAAGAGCGCAAACTTTAAACTCTAATGTTCTAAGTATTAAGAGTGAATAGCTGGCTCGTTTACAACGCACAACCAATAATACGACCAAATTTCGTACGTCGAGTAGATTTTAGATTTTTAGATTATTTTTTCCGCTTAATATAGTGCGCTTGCACTGTAGGTGAAATGCGTTAAAATTTGCCCGTAATAAATCAGCCACGCCAATAATGCCGGCATTCTGCGCGCGCAAATGGAAGGAGTCACAGGCGCCCACCTAAGGTGGCTGTCTTATCAATTATGAAAATTCTCGGATGTTACGTAAGTCACAGGTGGATAATTTGCTACACTGCTGTGAAAAGCTCTCACAGTACAACCTCTTCTCTTTGCTAGGATCAGAATTACCACCAAAACGTTCATAAAATCTACAATGGAAAGTGCGTTCTAGTTGAGAGTACAATGCAGTTCGAGTTTGGAAGTGAAATCGCAGTAGTTTTCAATATCAAGGAACTCGTTCTTATGACTTCGACTGCCATCCCAGTGCCTTATTTTTGAGCAGTGAGTTAACCTCCCATTAGATGGAAGTATTTTTACTTTGTAAAGTATGCCGTAGCTCGTCTCTTCAACGTATTTGAAAAGGAATCGCACATATTTGCTAAAAGGGAATAAATGAACAGGTGCCTTGACTTTTCCGTTGCTGCATTAGATTTGCGTGGACATTTGTCCATTTCCGAAGAAGGCTTTGATGAGATTGCACAAAGTGTTCCAATCTCAAAACGGCTCGTTCAGGGGGAACTCTAGAAATTAGGATAGTATCAGACATTCTGGGCTTAGTATTGTTCGGATAAATCCAGTCCTTGCTCATCATCCCTCACAGTCCCACTCAGGGCCCGGCACTAGGTGTGCAAATGACAAGCTGAAAATCGTTTTGGGGTCAAATAGCAAAGGGGATATCGTTTGGGATCCGGGGCGGAGCCCCGGAAGAAGATTCTAAGTGCAAGCAAATGAAGGTCGAATCATGCTTACCTTATACATCTAATTCATCGGAAAGTAGTTTTCATACAGCAGAGTTCGCGCGCACTACGCCGCGTTGCCGCTAATTGCCGCGTGCGCGACGTCGCATGAGCGATGCCGTTGAACAGTCTGTTGTGCACCTAAAGTTTACTCTATGGTGAGATTTTGGTTCCGAAACTCCTCCTCTTGTCTTTGTTAAAGCCCAAAATCGCATCAGCAGCCTAGCTTTCTAAGATGGAAAGCGCGCCCCAGTCAATCGATACGCGCGGGAACGGCGTCTCTCAGTCCTACATATGCTGCGTTCCTTTGATATTTTTTCATTCCTTCATCATTTTCCTTGCTTATTCTTCTTCCTGTTTTCTATCTTGATACAGGTGAGGAGCAAGTAGAGGAATTTGAGCATTTTGGGCGCTTTTGAGCGCTTTTAGGTGAAGTGTGGCCGGTGCTCTCGTTCCACAAGCACAAAGCTTCATTTTTGAGCTCAAGGGGATATTCGTAAAAATTGGGTCAATGGGGAATTCGTTTTGGAAAATCCCGTCTGCCCACCTCGTGCCAGGCCCTGGTCCCACTTCTCCAACCACCGGTTATAAACGCGGAAAGGACTTCCATGTTGAAACAAAGAAATTTCATTCTTACCTTTTAGCGGGTCCAAATTACGCGATTTGCATTGAAATACGGAGAACGACAATAACTACTTACAAGGAAAGGATACTTGGTCGAAGTGGCGTTTACACATGAAGTGTATATTTTCTTGTAGAGCGTGGAACGCTGATTCCAAATCTGCTTTCCTTATTTACAAAACGCTTCAGCGAGAGAAGTTATGGGAATTTTCTGAGATAAAATTTCAATCATTTAAGGTAAAAACAGCTGTTGAGATCTTTTCGGTGCTTGAAAGAAGTAATAACTTGCATGAGTTTAGATTGAAGGTATTTATTGCATAAAAGTAATGTCTGGTAGTAATCATGAATGATTCTATTGTAGCGGCGTCCTCAAATTTTTGCATCAAAAAATTCTCATATCTCCACTCCCAGAACCGCTTTGCGGATACGGAAAGCAGATTCGAAATCAGCGTTTCACTATAATATAGTATACAATTCATATAGAAAAGCCACTTCCACCAAGTATCCTTCCCTTGTTAGTAGCGGGAGCTAGAGTTTCTGAACACATGCACTCACTAACTCCACATTTATTGCCTTACGCGAGCTGAACAGACTGGAAGTTTTAGATCGTCTACTTCAGCATTAAAATCTAGTCACTTCCAAGCAGATACCAACCACATAATTCTGAGACCTCTTAATCTCTCATATTTTACATGCTTTTTGCAAGAATATCTATTTAGGAAGCTAGCGTTGAAACGTTTCATCAAGGAAACGTGTCATTCTAGAAGATATATGAACTGATAAAAGACATCTTTACTGCCGATAAAGTTTTTTTGACATAAGACTTTATATACACAAAAGATAATAACCTGAGGGTAGTGAAACTCACGAACAAGGATGTTTCGCATCAAAGCATGTGAGAATTCTTGTGTTGCAAAATGAAAAAAGGTCCAATATTCAGATTTTTTAGTCTTGGTACTGGGATGAAACCTTATGCGTTTCATGACTAAGAAGTGGTTTAAGTGGAAGTCTTTGTGAAGAATTAAGTTTCAAAATTTTGTTTCGATTTTCGATTGTGTCCTAATTAGATCTCTAGCATCAATCACAAACTGAAGAAATTTGATTTTCTAGGAATGCTGCTTTTGGGGCAAGGCTTTTCCATTGTGACATAGATTCTATATAGGCTGACCGATAAGATTAGGTGAGGAAAGGATGAAGACGGAAGAAGAGTATGCAAAGGCTGGATACACTCACATCCTTCACATATTTCTAGGGTTTAATTACCCATTTCTTGTAGATTGAAAGCCTTATGGCAAATAAATAGATAAAAATTTCTGTATTTTGTAGCAATGAATTCAATCAAGTGGAGAAAATCCAAGGTAGTTGAAAATAAGGTAAGGAAAAACGAGAAAAGGCAGACGAGAAATTGGGAAATGGAGAATCCAAACATTTCACAGATAAAACTTGCGAACAACTTGAGCTGAAAAAATATCGCAATAGAATGAGAGAAATAACTTACGGCACACTTGTCCGCATTCCTTTTCCAGTTGTGTTTGTTCTTCTTGGTTTCGTAACTGGGTACAACCCTCGCTTGGGTATGTGTTTTTGGATTGAGACTTAGTAGAGCCTAAACATAGCAAGTAAGCTTCCACGCAACTTCCCTCTTTACAAAATGTTCTTATTCTAAGGTGTTATCTCAGTGTGAGTAAAGTTCTGGTTAAGATTGCGTAATATCTTTCGTAACTATCACGACTTTTGAGCGGCAACAATTTCACTTCCGCCTGCAGGGAACTTCAACTTGTTCTTATTTTTGAACAGGTTCTACCGAAATATTCAAGGCCAAGTTGTGTATTATCACATCAGGCCCTCACGTGTTCGCTTACGGCAACTTCGCGTATTTCCTAATGTGATCTCTTCATAATATCAATCAACCCTAAAGGCTTTGGTTCTTTGAAGATGATAGAAAAAGGATAAAGACAGTTTTTGAGTGACAGCAGCTGAGCGCCTGCATGAATGAAGAGCCGTGTCAGGCGGCTAGTAAGCTTTTTTGTTAGAAATATGATTTACACGGTGTAAAAATGCGTCGCGCCATCTATTACAATATAGTCATAGGGTGCACAAGTAATGATTCATGAAGTTTTCTGTAGGATCAAAAATGAGTTAATGGGTATACCTCGATGTCGGGAGTGTGCTTGGTTAGCGGTTGTGGTTGAGGTGCCATTGTACCAGTGGCAGTAGAGTGAGAAAAACGATGAGCTCTTGGCCGTCTACCTAGACCAACCCACCTAAACACTGATACTAGCGAGATAGCGCACAATTGTGGAAGGCGCACGGTAGCGCTATCTTTATATGCGTATCAACTAGAATGGTTGAGAGACATCGCGTGTTTGATAAGATCAGCGATAAGTACGACAATTGGTGGTTAACAAAACCAGTTTTTTTGTTGAGTTCATGTGTGCTAAAAGAGTTATGATCACCTGAAGAGTACTTTGGCACTTTCCCAGATTCCCGGTTCTTTATACATCTTGACAGACAGTGCAATAGTCTTAGCAGCAGGCAAACTGTACCCGATTATCCTTGAATCTGAATGAACAAGATGTGCTCCTGCTCTGAGATGAAGAATGTCAACAATCATAAATTGGAAAACAAAACCAGCCAATGTGGTGGAAGAGTGGAAGATTGGAGAAGCTTGCAATTTTTTATGAAAGGCATTTAGTGATTTTGAAAATATCGCAGAAAAGATATATAAAAGTCGAACTTTACATAATAATGCTGCGAGACTGTTTGTTGCTATTTTTTTAGGTGATAAAATTACGCAGTGCCAAAAACTCTTGTTCAACTACTTTAAGAGAGGAATTGGTTTATTCTACACGTAAGAAATAAAACCAAAGAGAATTTTTCAGAGCTCTGAGCATTTACAGCATATACACGTGCGTCTGCTCTTCATTGTGTAACTTCACTTTTTGTCATATTCGAGCTTGTCTTGAGTGATCACCTACATAGTTTAGCTTTGTTGGCTCGGTTCCATCTGCAGTCTTCTTATGCCTTTCTTATTCTTCTCACAGTGAGATAAAATGGAAATATGGGTTTCCTCGCTGCAATTTCCATTATCATAGAATCATCTAGTGTCCCAGGAAAATGTTTCGAATGTTTGTTGGCTAATGATTCTTCATGTAGAAGCTTGGAGGGGTAGCTTCCGCACGGACTCAAGGTGCAAAACTAATCATGCTTCTCCGTTACTGTAGGATTACGGTAAGAATATTCAAGCGGTTTTGAGCCAGTGAGAGCCAAAAATTGCCTCAGAAAAAGTCTGAAACAGAGAAAAAACTGTTGCCACGTTTTTAGGATTGCCGTTTCCAACAATAAGGTTTTCATTAAGCCGTAATAAATGGTCCAAAAACTACGACAGCTTCACCGTGATAGGGTTTAACTCTGCCGCTTCTTCGACAATCGCATGAATTTTATCCCGCCAATTTACATTTGGTACTGGTGCACAATTTTTGCCTTGAAACCATAGTGGACGCGGAATGAAAATATGTAGATCTCTCAATGTTATACGCCTAACTATAGAGTGCTCTACACGCATTACTTCCACTTCATTCTTCTGCTTTTAGATTCCTTTAATGCGTATGTTTCTATGCAAACTAGTGGTAGGGTGCCCCCGGGAACAACGAAGTTTCATTACAGATTGTGCCTTCAGCCTCAGATTGAAACCTCGAATAGTTTTAATTGTTCTATTCTGCGACACATAATGCCTACTATGCTGATTCACTCTACCAAGCCGATGAAGATTGAAGCAATGCTTACAAGGAAACAATAATCGGTGTCCGTGGCCTTTTGAGATGAGATGTATAACATTACACTCGTCTTGGAACACTGGTTCCGAATCTGGCTTCTGGCTTCTGTTTCTGCTAATCGCTTCGAAGATGTTATGATGGATAGTGGTTAGTACGATAACCTCAGGAGTTGATGCAGGTGCAGGTTCGAACACCTTTGCTTTTTTCAGTTTTGCATTGCCTCAATTAACCTTCTTCAGCTTCATCGAGCTAAGTGAACGTCCTTACTCTTCAAAAAATGTGGACATTTGGAAAAAATGATTACTATTTGCGCTAAATTGTATCCAATGATCATAGTACAAGTAAATTTTCTCGAACAAGTTTAATTGAAACAATGCAAAAGTAAAAACACAAAAGGATTTAAACCTGCACCTGCATCTTATATATAAAGCTGAATGTCTGTTTGTCTGTATGTATGTGTGTACGTATGTTCCGAATAGAAAATTCCATTTTTGAACCGATCCGGACCAAACTTGGCACACATACACTACGGGCCCCGGCGGGTGTCATAGGCTACTTTTCGTCATCGATCGATATCGATTTTATCGATTTTTATCGATTTTTTTGCTGAGTTCACCTACGGGGCTGGGAGTTGACACAGGGGGGTAATCGAGCATGGGGATTCCGAATACAATATTGGTTTTCAGGATTATCGATTACTTTTATCGATTTTATCGATTTTTTTGCAAAGTTTGAGCTACGGGGCTGGGAGTTGGCACAGGGGGGTAATCGAGCATGGGGATTCCGAATACAATATTGGTTTTCAGGATTATCGATTACTTTTATCGATTTTATCGATTTTTTTGCAAAGTTTGAGCTACGGGGCTGGGAGTTGGCACAGGGGGGTAATCGAGCATGGGGATTCCGAATACAATATTGGTTTTCAGGATTATCGATTACTTTTATCGATTTTATCGATTTTTTTGCAAAGTTTGAGCTACGGGGCTGGGAGTTCGCACAGGGGGGTAATCGAGCATGCTGATCATCCCCAAGGGGGGTGATCAGCATGCTCGATTACACCCCTGTGCCAAATTCCAGCCCCCTAGCTCAAATTTTCAAAAAATCGATAAAATCGATAAAAGTAATGGACGATCTTGAAAACTAATATTGTGTTCGTAATCTGCATGCTCGATTACCCCCTGTGCAAACTCCCAGCCCCGCAGGTCAAACTTTACAAAAAAATCGATAAAATCGATAAAAGTAATGGACGATCCTGAAAACTAATATTGTGTTCGTAATCGCATGCTCGATTACCCCCCTGTGCAAAATCCCAGCCTCGCATGTCAAAATTTACAAAAAATCGATAAAATCAATAAAAGTAATCGATAATTCTGAAAACTAATATTGTATTCGGAATCCCCATGCTCACTTCCCCCCTGTGCCAACTCCTAGCCCTGTAGGTGAACTCTGCAAAAAAATCGATAAAAATCGGTAAAATCGACATCGATCGATAACGAAAAGTGGACTGTGACACCCGCCGGGGCCCGAAGTGTATGTGTGCCAAGTTTGGTCCGGATACGGCGGAGCCGGGTAAGCCAGCTAGTCAACTTATAAGGCTACCGCACTAACCACTAGACCAGAAGGTGTTGCGGTAGAGGCCGTTCCAATGACCATATTTCGCTTGTGCAGCCAAACTTGGCTCGAAATTAACCCATAACTTCTTCCAGAGAAACGATTAGCAGGAACGGAAGGCAGATTCGGAATCAGCGTTCGAAGACGAGTGTAATGGTATGAATCACATCTCGAAAGGCCACGGATATTGAGTATAGAATTTTGTAGAAGGTACTTTTCTCACTTCAGAATTGTGCCCCTTCCACAGAGCAAATGGTTTCGATATCGCAAAAGTCCAAGGAAAATCAGGACTCAAATAGAGAAGAGGTCATGGTAAATAAAAATCAATAAAAACAGCAATAAGAGATCAAAAACGAGTCCTTTTGGGGGTTTCAACTTTAGATCGGAGCAGTACTATTGCTGTTCAAGAACATATTCAGGACCAGGGGAAGCGATGAAAACGAGGTTCAAAAGGGGGATGCAAATATCATTAGATTTCGAAAGGTACGTAGGGGAGAGATTTGTAAATGAGCAAAGGAGAATACGTTTTTGTGGGCCCTGATCACCCCATGTAGTTTACATAGAAGAAAAGTTAGGATTCTTTATCGTTCAACAGCATTATTATATGGTTTCGGTAGCATTATGCAATTTGTTTAAAGCTTCTAAATCACCATTTGAAAACCATACAAATGTTTTTTCTTATATAGATCAATAGAGCGCATCACTCTGTTATGAGTGCAACAAAGGTTGACTTTTTCCACCTATTAAATCAAATTCTTGTTGAGGATGACGCTTCTCAAACGTTAGGAAATATCAAAAAATGTAGCCAGGTAAAGGTTTTTGAAGCCCATGGAGGCAATCTGAAATGCTCATTCTGGAAGTCACACCCATTGCACATAACAGGCCTCTTTGGTGAGTTTACGGTAGGTGTACTTTGGCAGATGAAGATTTCGTAAATGTTAAAACTTCGACAGTGGAATTATGTGGTGTGCTGTTCACATCGTATTCATTCTTCGAAAATGACCACTGCAGTGCATTTGCGGTTCTGTGTGGGTATTTCCTTACTGATCGTGCCGTTTGCTCAATTTCTTGGGCTATTTCGAACCCCTACCTCTCCTCTCCCCCAATGAATTTTTGCGTGTAGATCACATGAGTCAAAGAACTGCGGAGGTGACTTGTCCTCATTTACCATGTGTCCCGAAAGATATAAATTTGTAAGTTTCTCATCGGATCAAAACGACTGTTATGGAGGGAGGTTTGATTTCATTTAAGTTCTTTTCCCTCTCTTTCATTAGGTACATAAGTCTTATCCATAAGTAACTTCACTGATTCTAAAATGGCTATTAAGAGGAAGTATAGTTCAATTTTTGGAAGGAAGGAAAGTACAAAGCGAAATCGCCCTTGATATGAATGCCTTGAAATCATCTCGGAAGCATATATATCTTTTAGAAGGGCAAGACGGTTTAAGTGACCCCTTTCACGTTTTCTAGCTGCTCGCTACAGAAATTACAAGATTTTCAGTTTAAAACCGTAATCGTCGGCACTCTCGTTTTATCAGTTGTGTGAAACCCAGATAAACTATATATTTCCTGGAAGCAGGAGACGAGACAAATGACTTTCTTATCGCTGTCGTTGCTGCTCATTTACAGAAGTTACCAACTTTCAAATTTGTTTTGTCAACGTAACTTCGAGGCACATGGTTTATTGCCACAAATATTGGAAACCCCGTACCTAGCAATTTACCCAACCCTGACTGTACCTCGGCAGGTGGGTGCGCGTCTGCGAGGTACAATTGGGCGTAGCGAGCTTGGCAGATCTAGAAGGTCCTCAGGATACAGCGCTAGGATAAGTCAACCTCCGCAGTAGATCTTTCTGGTGTAGAGCAAGAGAAAGCAGAAATCTTGGTGGTATCTTGAAACGTTAGTGCTTTTTAGCGCCAAAATGTACTGCAGAAGTCTTGAAAAGTCCATAATGGAACCAAAATATGGGAGAAAAATCGCGGTCATTACTTTCGTACAGCAAACGCTCACAAATGATTGAAGAGCCGAGCAATATCTCAAGGATTCGTTATGTTTTAGGAGAAAGACTCCTTCGTAGTTAAAAGGGATGATGTACATGTAAATTTTGCTAAACAAAGTATTGAGGTGGAGTCGCAGATTTCTATCATGAAATTGCGAGAGAAATTCTAGAATTTGTTTGCCTTGGGATCACGAATACGCGCTTATCAGAGGTGATACATAAGATAAAT